AATACCTCTCAATTTTTTATTTTTTTAGAATCTTTCCGTCGATTTGTAGAGGTGCTGAAATCATCGATCATTAATTTTCAAACGGATAAAAATTTACCACCAGTAAAAAATTACGACACGATTTCAGACCATAGCACAGTTGCCATGTGTTGAAATACGATAGGGAATTTCAGAAATATTATCAATCCATCTTGTTCTTAACGATTTTGCAGAGAATTAATTATTTGAAATTGATCCTTTGTTTTTGTGTTCATTAAGATCACATTCTTTCATTTCATTGAAGTCAAGTGTTTTTTACTGATTTACTGAATTAACTCCACCTAATTCACCTTGTAATTCACCTTCCATATAAATTTTAAGTTAGAAATGAATCGATGATCAATTTTTCTGATAGGCAATTGAAATTTCTCCATTGGGTTTTTATGGAGTTTTTATATGGACCGATTTTTACTTTTTTGATCCAGAAATCGATCGTTTTTTCAAAAGATCGTTTTCCAGAAGATTTTCATGGGAGGATGGTAGTTTGGTGTAAGGGCTTGAGAAAGTTAGAGGAAGTTTTGCCTCATGATGAAAATGTAGTTCACTCACAAGTTTTTCCGCCGTGAAAACTTGGGGTAAATTTGAGAGTTTTAGGAATTTATGGAAATGTTGTCTCACCCTTAGTTTAGGGAAGTTCTGCCTCATAGGAAATCTAGTGTACAAGTTAACTTATTCACAGTGAAAATTTAGCGGAAGTTCAAATAAGTGTGGGAAGGTCCAGAAAATTTAGAAATTTCGAGGATGTTTGAGGAAGTTTGAGGAAATTTGAGAAAGTTCCATTAAATTCGGAAATTTTTCAACAAATGGGATATGAAGCACATAAGTGTGTACAGAACAGGCATTTACAGGCTTGAGGAATTTCATGGGAGGAAAGTTTGAAAAAGTTCGAGGAAATTTAGGAAATCAAAAAGTTTGTGAAGTTTGAGGGAGTTCAAGGACCTAATCATTGAAATGCTCATTGGAAGGACTAGATAACTGAGTTGACTGAGAAATTTGAATGAGTATTCAAAATTCTCATTTAGGTAACAATTAATTATTGCCAGAAGAATAAGGGTTAGAGGAAGACAAATTCAAAGATATTTGTTATATCATCGTGGTTATATCTAGCTTGAATTTCCTAAATCAAAAAGAAAATGGTTTCATCTTTTCAATATGAGTATGTATTTTTAGAAATGCGTGTTGGATACATGGAGGTACAAATACAAATGTTTGATTGTTAAATTGGCGAATATTCAACAATTATTATTCTCATAAGTGTTTTATTATGAGAGATGATTTCATCAAAATCCGTGTCAAAATCCAATATGTAAGTATATTTATTATCTATGATGGTGAACTAAATAAAATAGTAATTACCTAGATAGGTATAGTAAGGTTGTCTAGATGCAGATTAGAAATGCAATTATCACAAATGATTATGATAAATATCTCAATTTCAATGTAGATGACTGTTTTGTTTGATAGATCATTAACCACTGAATCAAACAAACAAAAGAAACTAGATCAAACAAAACAATTACTTATTGATAAACATGAATAATTATGTGATATTCTGAAGATGAAGCACAATTCCTTGATGATGCTTTACCTAATCTAGGAAGTGATCTACCTAGAGTACCTAGTCTACCTGAAATTTTGTGAATAATTTTTCATTTAGGTACCTATACCAGAGAATCCAGAGATAGGTAAATAACAGCAAAAGAATTTAATATATATGGGCATGAGCTTTTCCTGAATAATACTGGCTACTGGCTGGTTTATTTTTCATAAAGATCACTACAAAGTTAATGGTCCAAGAATTTTACCAGCCATAGACCTGTACCAGCTTAACTAATAATAAGAGCTGATCAACTTTATAAAATAGAAAATGGGAGTTTACTGTATGATTCCTAAACAATACCGTAACGAGAACCAAGACAAGACGTACGACTTTGTTGTTTTCTTTGGAATTGCCAAGAGGAAAGAGAAAATTACATGAATGACGTAAGTGCAACCTAGCTCTTCGCCCTTCAAATTGTTATTCTTGTTTAATCATTAATTTTCTTCTTCAAATCATATTATTCAATGAGTATAACATATTACCTGTCGTTAAGGTTTGACGATGTATCCATTGTATCCTAGAATAATCCCATATTCACACCACGAGATTGTAAATAAGGAACATTCACGGAAGAACTCATTTTTATTGATTTCACTAAATAACACACTGCCACAGCATTCCCGATATTGTCATAAGATCCATTCACATGTTTATGAAACCTTCAGCCAAAATTATAATTTAATTCGGCAAGAGAAAATCAGTTCGTACCCAAATATTTGCTTACAAATTCTCAGACCAACAAGTGTCAGCCATTTTGAAGGTTGGAGGTTGGAGGTGCTGGTCCTGCGCTGCTGAGGATATCGTACTAATGCGCTTGCGTATAGTATTATTATAATTAATCAATTTTAAACTATTAATAATATTAATTGTTCACAGCTGGTAATTATCCATATCTGTGTTCATGTGATATAGTTGTAGATATTTAGCCAAATTGATAATTTATACTCTTTAGTACATTTCAGTCAATTCTGGTACAATTTTATGTTTTGGTCAGTACAATCAGCTCAAATTTAGTACAATAATTCCAAGGTCTATTAAAGTTAAATAGCCTTGCAATAATTCAACTTTAGAAACAAAAACAAAAGCTGTGACAAAAGTATGAATGACTGTCAGATCTTCTGCTTATCAGTTCAGCCAACCCAGATGGCTAGCCATTCGTGCTCTAATTCGTGCTGGCCATAATCTAGCCATAATGAGATACATAATCAACTTCAACTGTCACCACTGTCAGTACTGTACTGTTTTCTGATGTTTTTTAATAATCTTTTATGGATGATGCTGTATATATTTCGTATCTTTCTAGTTACAATTTGGGGATATATATCACCGATGGGATATTTCTTTGTTTTTTTTCGATTTTATTTTATACATAGTGTAGTCATTTTTATAGATGACACTGTATATGTATCTTTTCGGCTATGTACAGTCGTCTTCAGAAATCTTGTCGTTCTTATTGCATGAGTTATAAAGAATGCTATCATCGTCCAAATCATCGTCTGAGAATGTACCTGATAGGGCATATGTCATTTTATTCCCTTTTTTCTTTTTTTTATATATGATACTGTCATTTCTGATAATGAAAAATGAAAGATATCGTTCAATAATTTTCTAATCGATTTTTTCAAAATTTCAAGCCTGGTACATTTCAATTGGTTCTAGTACAATTCAATAGTGATGTTAGTACAATTAGTTCTTTCTTCTGGCAACACTGTATAGTCTCCTTCGTTTTTGAAATGAATTCCAAATGGGGTTGAATTTACGCTACAAACCTATTTTATTTTGGTCATTTCGTCTATAAATAGTATTTGGTGCAATCATCCGTTATTTATAATCATTGGAAAAATATTTTTTGCAATAATCAAATTCGACACACCTTCGAAGAACGCCAGCTTTTAGATGACGTCATTGGTCATGAACCATCACACATGAACCGAACCGAAAGTCATGTCATCGTTATCAGAATTCTGGCTTTTTTAGCATAAAAAGAGGGACCACATATTTCGACGCTGCCAGAACTAGTAATTACGCGTTGTATTGAGTTCATTGTGAGATTCATGGTGGAATTATAATTAACCTCGTGAATTGTATTTGCCAAGCAGCCCCTGCGGGCGGGCAACTTCTTGTGTCGAGCGTATACGCGGGCACTCGGTATGTTCGCGGTCTATTCCAGCTCCGAACGGAAAATCGGAGAGCATAAATTTTGTACGCAATTTTCAATGAAGATTATTCATAACAATCAACTTCAAAAAAACTGGATCAGAATGAAAATGATAAACTCCGTGCTAGATCTTGATGACCACATTTAACTGAATATTTGAAGGAACTACTACCTACAAACTCCATGAACTTATATATTGCATTCTACACTATCCCCGACTTATCCCAGATCAATGACGGCTAAATATCTAGACTGTCTGACGGGGTATAACATAGACAAAACAAAAATTCATTTATTTCTGACAGTGACATTATAAGCTTATATCGTCATATAGTTACGATATCTATAATGAGGGTCATAACTCCCTTGGGATATTAAGGTTCAAAAACTCCCTCTTACCTTTTACAGGTGAAAATGATACAAGAAATGCTTATAAACGTTTGTGATGAAAACTAAGACATATTTTCCTTATTCACGTCATTACAAATAATAAATGTACAATTTTCAAATGTTCCCTGAAAATTACTTCCGCCGCTTAAAAAAAATAAACATGTAACATAGCGACAACCTAGCAACAACCAACAATGCTACAATCAACGCTACCTAATTCAAATATACCAGAAAGGTTATGAATTTAAACATTTATTGCGTTCTAAATATGGACATATTGTTATGAAAATCGGTCAGAAATAAAATTATCTATGTACCACGGGAATTATAGAGCCTTAATAACCTCTGGCAATTGCTGTCCCTTGGACCTGAGGCCCTCGGGACGCAAACTTTGCCATCGGTAATTAAGGCCCTCATAATTCCCTTAATACATAAATAACTATTCTCTATGGGGTATAACGAGGGTATAACGTATAACCCGTCGGACAGTCTAGATATTAAGCCGTCATTGCTCAGATTGAATTTGATGCACAGTCCATGGACCGTTTAAACAATTTGAAACAATACAAGCCTAGTAGTCCTAGTACTACTAGTTCGTACTGTTCATAGTTCAGTGCTCATTGATCCTGAGAGGTTTTCTATTATACGTTGCTCCTCAAGAAAATATTCATCAAGATTATCCAGTTGATGATGTTGATATAAATATCAACTATCTTTAGGAGAGTAAGTTCTTATGGACGTTGGATAAATTGATGTATGGAGAAATTTCAATCAGATGTATAGAAATGCTCATAATACACGAACTATGGTTTTCAAAAATATATTTGAGAAAATAAACATCAATTCCTAAACACTAATATTCAATATATATCATAGACAACAATTGCTGATCACTATTATGATGATATTGATGAATAAGGTCATCATTAAAGGTGCGGGATTTACAGAACTATTATCAATTTTCACAAATGGATAAAAAAAATCATAGGGCAACTTGATATTCAAACTTGGCGGATCCAACATCTTGTTCACTTTGGGTTTCGAAATATCGTAAAATGTCACTCGGCTTTGCAGATCTAGTTCAAAAGAAGCAGAACTAGAATTTTTGTTGAAGAAAAATGTTTTATTCACAAATCCGTTAAACGTATAGGTCACTGCCAGCAACTTTTCTTGATTGTGTAGACTTCCTACATCAATTTTAGAATGGAATAAGTCGATATTCAAGCACGTAGCTATTTCAAAACATAATAACAAATTGGTTTTGGAATTGTATATTCCAAAAATGCTATCAAGTATTGATGAGGGATCTTTTTTGTACAGTATCTTCAACCATTCATCAGGTAGAGTGGTATTGGCATTGCCAAATGAACCAAAAGTGACATTCTTCTTTTCATCGACATCCCATAACTGAAATACTGAACGTTGGATATTTCGACACACATCTGTACCATTAACTTTTTTCTTTTCAACAATGTTTCTCTGGTATTTACATTTTGTTAGTAGATTATAACCAAATTCAACAACAATATGTGCCATTTCAGTAGACATACAGAAGCCACCTTCATTTCCAGGTATTATTAGAAAATTATTTATGAATCGAGAGGAATTTCTCTTAATAATAAGTAGCTCATGAGTTTTGTTTCCAATGTTGATCAATAATCCAGTGAGAATTGGTTTTCCAATCAGATATCCGGGATTTCCACTCAAGATTTCTGAATAATTTCTAGTTTGGTTCATCCACCAAAAGTTCACAGAAAACTCTTGTGAAAATTCAAGATCTCTTCTCCAAAATTGATAAGAGATATTTTCCAAATATACGAGCAAGATTACTTGTGAAAATCCATTTGTTCCATTATGATAAAAATTATACTGAGCTTTCTTCACCATATTCACACATGAATGTTTGTTCAGGATCAAGTTACATGTCACTTTGATTCTACTATCATTTTTCGTAATATTCATGCAATCGTTCAAATGCTCGTTACAAATTCTCGGCGCTATTGGCAAGCACACATTTTTTGGACAATCCTGAAAATAAAGTGAAAAATAGGTTGCTTATTTTCAAGATTAGGTATTAACACATTATACACCGTAAGGGTGACTAGAGTCTACCCATAGCACCATAGCACATTTAAATCCTCTATAAGATCTTGTTAGAGGTATTTACTGTGAACATAATATAGCGTGGTAATATTGCCCCTGTTGGCTTGCTGGGCACGAGAAACACTGAAAAAAATATTGAAATAGTGAATCACTACCGGCCTAATCAGTAAATACCTCCACAGTATTTTTTTTCGATTAACACTTCGAAAAAGAATTAAAAAAATATAAGCTGACGTAGGGTTTCGAAACCCAGCGGTCTCTCCGTTCGGAGGAAGGAACGCTTCTCTATTGACGACCACGCTTCTGGCAAAGCAAACTACAACATATTTTCATACGCTCTTCACTAGCCGCCACCGTATAATAGTGGTGCTATGGCTAGGCTCTAATTGAGGGTGTATGCTGTCGTATTAATTCAAACATAGATAAATACTCTACTGTCTAGAATCTAGATAGTAGATAGACAAGGACTGTGTAGAATGATGGGACGTAACAGACCGGCGGCTAATCGGCTTGCATAGTCTATGAATAGTCAGTTTTGGGACAGATCATATTAGGGTACGGACATACCGTATGTTTACATCGATAATGAGCAGACCATACCGAAGATGCATTCCTTTCAGTGTTCTTTGCGTTTTCTAAGGAGACTGAAATGTGTTTTGGAAAAGTTTACTTTTTCGAATCATAAAACTGTGTCTAGAAACAACAGTAGTGACGACAATGATTGTATGTTTTCAAGTGAAAGGTGGTGGAACTGGTGGATCATTTGTAATTCTCCAAATCGCCAGTTTTAGGCTCATCCTGTAAACCAATTGAGACAGTATATCTAGGGAATACCTTCACATATTTAAAGAGCTTGAAAACCACCACTCAGATAGATTTTAGCTTATATGACAATCAGTCTGGATACATTTCAGTACATTTATGACAACATAAAAAGGGGAATCGAACATTGCAATTGTAATAACTATCATACAAACCGGACTTCGGCCGAACATTAACAAAATAAACAACCCAAAGGTCTCGCAACCTTTTTACAACAAGCAATGAATAAATAAATAGCATCCGTACCGTAGACTAATATCACGTGGTTTGAAAAACACCAATAAACGTGAAGATTTACCAAGCGATGAACAGCTCTATCGCGATGTAAAACAAACTTATTTTGTTGGGCATTGACATCGCTGTAAGCCGTGATGATAGGCAGCAACATCCTTGGTATGTGCGGTGTCAAAAGGATAAATGTGTTTGTTTTGACATCATTGTGATCGATTTAGCTAGAGTCACTGGATGGTATTAGATACGAGTTCGGACATAGCGTGGATAAAAGAATGAAACATATATTCAACCCTTTATCTTTTCAATTTCCCTAATAGCGCCTGATTCGATTTTGGAGGTTTTCTGTCACCTATAGCTAGTTCGTTCGGTATTGAATTCAATATTCAATTCAATGATATATCACGGTGCAATTTATTTGATTCTGATCTGCTGTTATAAGAAATCAACCTAACAAATTTTGCTTGTATTCGAGTCAATTTTCCATCCAGGCTGTTTTATACATTCCTTCCCCATTAACAGAATGGTTGATATTTCCTTTGGAACATTAAATAAATGAAACCCATTCTCTTCAGAATCCCCACAATTCATTGCACAGCAGGACATTTCCATTCATGCTTCCTTCTCAATAGTTTATGAAATTATATCTCAATCCTGACATTCATGAATTCTATTGTCAAATTCGAACAATTAAAATAAAAAAGTGCAGGGCGACTATATGGTGCTCTTGTCACAATGCAAGTTGTGCAACTCAATAAATCAAAAACACTAGCAATTGTCATTTCTGTGTCCGAACTCTTATATAACTGATACCATCCAGTGACTCTAGATGTAGCTACCCCGACCTCCACCGCGCACATCCATGAATCTTCGGCATGTCCGTTCAATAATGTTGCGACGCACTGCCGTTCTCTTTGAATTTTCACAGAGACCGATGACCTGCGGTTGTTGTGTTGTTTCAACCGACTTTGCATAGACTTTACAAAAATATTAATATGTTAGTCGGTGAAATACACGATGTTATAATGAATATAATGAATAGATGCGCACAGAAGCGGATTACCCACCTCTCTGTTACGTCCCAATCAGAGCGTTGTCCATTCTTACATTCACGGTGTCTATCTAGAGAGTATTCCTGTATTATCTTTGGTTTATATAAATGACTCACTTGAAACGAATTCCTACTATATTTCGTAAGATTGAAGCTTTCAGAAGCTATTATATATGAATTTTCGTAATATTCTCGCATACTAAGATATCGATTATCTTCTCCAATAACATCTTGAACACAGGTATTTCTCACATTTTTTAAATTTACTACATCGTCCATTAACAAACATCTGTTAGTTATGAACTTATTGGGAAGTTCTGAAAGGTTCAAATATAGATGAAAATAATCCAATAAGTGTTTACACTACTCACGAAATTTCTTCAGTTGTCTATTCTGAATAATGAAAATTCGATTCCCATACACAAACTTTTTCGTGACATTCATTATGTCGTCTTGATCAGAGCTTACGCACTTAGGCCATGAGAATAGCCCAGTCTTTTCACTTTCGGCTTCTCTGAAACTCCTCAGAGCCTAAATAAAAAATAATTTTTTATAATAAGCAAAAATGATACTTCTTTCGATACTCACATGTTTTCGTTGTATGGTATAGAAAGGCGCTAAATTACTTTTGACAACGCAAAATAATCCATTCTGGTTGATTTGCCATTGGAATGGCGTGTTATTGATGTAAATGTACTTGATATATTCACAGTATCTTGTATCGTACACCCTATTTTCTACTTGACAATGATCAAATATCAGTTTGTCTTCTGGATAACAGTCTTCATCACAGCAACAGTTGATATCGCAAAAGTTCAACTAAAAAAAAATGCTAATTAAAAACGTCTCAGGGATTCTCAATGTTTGAAATATCTATAAATTAAAAACAGAACATTGTAAATACCAATAGTGGTATGTATAGTTTACACTCGTCTGTCTGCTCTGGCTGGAAAATGTTCTATCTTTATATCACATGGACTACAATCGAGGTAAACTGTGCATACCGCTACTCATATTTTCTCAAATGTATTGGTTCAGAGCAAGGTGTTCAGAGCTAACCTGTAGATCACAAGTACAGAAATCTATGTTTCCCAATGCTTTCCTTCTATTTGATGTGTTTATTGGTATCTGAGTTTTATTTTCAAGAAGTGTGGGTTTGGACGTGGTGACATTGAGCATTTCGGTTGTACAGCTTGTAGAATTTATATCACAAGTTGTGAGTGGCAATATGGTGGTGAGATTCCCATCTGAGTCAGATATTTGAGTAGTGCTAATAATGGAATCGTCGATACCACTTGTATCAGAAGTAGAAGTACTAGTGTCAATCGTCGAGTGATATTCTGAACTTTGTGTATTTTGAGAATGAACAATTATTGTCGATAAAAGTATTATTATCATCAAACCCATGATGCTTCATTCAATATTCAACTCCGTAATTAGTGAAATTCCTTAAAACTACAGACAAGTCGAAAGAAACTACGCCCATTGCCTCAGTTGATAATTTGTATCGTTCTCCAGGAGAGAACACTTCATTTGGATATTTCAGTTGGACTCCACCACCTAGAAAATGCTGGATGAAGCGGTCTTTTACGGTACCATACGGTCTCCAAGTGTAACAGTCGATAGAATGGGTTCCTGGACTTGTTGGTATTGTTATAGTACCGTATCCAAATAGATGGGCGCGACCTAACCAATCTAGGTGGTATACTTCGATATAAATTTTAGGCCAACCTTGTATGCCTGCACTTGAAAGGTGAATATCAATAGGATAGTACCATCTACAAGATGGATCAAACTGAGACCAACTGACTTGAGTTTGGCCTTCTTTCTTTCCGGATATTATTTTCCAATTATTACCTGAAAGTGCAAAAGTATATTTATCAACATTTGAAAATTGTGATTTGAAAGATTGAATTCGCATCAATATTGATAAAAAAAATGAATTCAATGACCGCCAAAATACTTATATCATTCATATTAAATAAGTTCTTTCAATTTCAATAACTCTATATAGGGTGTTTAAAATCGAGATTTTTCAACTTTAGCATTTTTTTGTGTCGAAACTATTCATTATTGGTCACAACGGCTTTCATGTCCCTATCTCAGCTTGTGATTTACTATCTACTAACATTTAATTGGAACAGATAGAGCAAAATCAAAACAGAATCTTGAACCACTTTGATTTTACCTTTTTTAAATAGTTCAACCTCACTCCTCCTAAATGAACCTTTCTCCTGAAAAGTACATTTTTTGGAAAATTATATGAAACAACAGAAAAAGCAGACCATCGCAAGAATTGAACCCGGGTAGCCGGCGTGGAATTCAAACGCACAGTCAACTGCGCCACGCAGATACTCGAATATTTCATAGTATGATGAAATTATGTACCTATTTATATAGTGTATGATGAAGTGATCATCATACAGGAGGTCGTCGAAAGAAATTCTGTATTGGGAAAATCCACTCACGATTCTGAGAATATTTCTCTTCAAAAAAGAATACGTCTACACAAGCAGTTGCCCGCACATGGATTATTTGTTGAACCCTGTCTATAGACGTTGCTCAACACGCAGGCGCTTCTTGTATTGTTCTGATTGGTCTATAGGAATCGCTTATACATATGTTTGGGCAAAACGGATTCGTGCATTATGTGGTCTGTGCTGTTGAAGTTATACAAACGTGAGGTCATCAATGTCAAAGTCAAGAATCCCAGTTTTGCCGGATAGCCCTCCTAATAAAGGCTGTGGCCACATCGGGGAAAATGATGTAGAATATTTTTGAACAATTAGAAAACCCTGAGAACCTCAAGTTATGAGAAGAATTATGTTTTTTACTCTCAATGTGGAACTTTTCGACCAATTCTTACATTGACGGAGAAAATATCGTAGGAACTATAGGAAGAGGCCAAATGACGCACCCATCTACATTTGAAGAGTTCTACCAACTCTTCGAACTCTAACCTCACGTTTCAGTGGCGCGATGTGGTGGACAATAAATAATGTTAGCCCTCATTGGGCATCATCAAAAACCGAGTAAAAAATCATCCTGTATAAAATTTAATGAATTTTTTTCGAGCTGTGCTTCGAGCCGTTTTTGAATTATGAGGCCGTTCCCGCCGTTCAAGACTTTTGAAAGCCACTGATGATGTATATATTAATTTGTTCAAATTGGGAAACCGAGAGTCTTCTTTTTATAACATTGACTGATTATTTTGGAATATTCTGATTAAGATATTCTGATATACATTATAATATAAAAATGAGTCTTCTCACCAATTTTTAGATGCCATTTGCAAAATAAATGTTGCTTAGGAAACCTTTTTGCCTTGGAAATCTGCCCGATGATATGCAATTCTGCCATAAAATACTTTCAGCTTTTCAACTTAGGTTATTGAACGCGATATAGAATGAAAATTGATGAAGACTTCCAAAATTGACCATTATTTGTTTGCGTTACGACTGAATTTTTCCAAGAGTTGCTAAGCAACGATATTGTAACATCGTGATTGTAACGTAACAGTATTCTGTGACGTAACGAAACGCGTTACGATAGTAACGACAGTTATAGAGGACTTTAAACCTATGAGTTTTCTAGTGGTTATGTAATGACGTCGCCAGGCACAAAGCAGTTCTTTATATATAGAAAAATATAACAAAAATTATAAGGACTACAGAAATTTTGAATTACTGGCTGAGTGAATCTTTAATAATTATTCCCAACATAGATATTTTGAATTCAAATTTTAAATGATTGCACAGAAATTATTGGTACAGAAGTTGATCACAGAAACCACAGAATACTATAAAGTAATCTGATTCTGTGATTTTTTAATTATGCGCTTGCGCACTGCGCGTACCGTAAAAAGTGAAGTGAAGACCGTGAAAACTGAAGATGGCTACGAAATCAGCGAAAATGTAAAGTGGACAGTGTTAGCTGCAATTTACTTTAATTTCTGATCGTTCAATTCTTCAACGATTCATCTTTGAATGTAAGTTTATAAAATTTATCAGGAATATCAAGTTGCATCATAATATCTGAATTTTTCAAACTACATTCCTTTATTGATCCCAACATTTGTACATTACTTGAATTATTATAATTGTCTGTTCTTTCTCAATTATTTTGCTCGTCTGGCAAATGTGAGATAATTTTGAAGTTTCTAAATGGATTTAATTCATTCTCTTTTCTGGGATTGACGTACATTTAATTTTATAGTGCAAATCAAAATGCCTAGACGATGTTATGATCAGGACTTTTCTTCACAAAATGAGCCACCTAGAAAGAGAAGTTCAACTGGAATCTCAAATAGTATACAGTTAAAAGAAGGTGAAGTTGTTACTGATATAAGTAATAAGAATTGGAAACTTGGTAAACCTATTGGAATAGGTGGTTTTGGAGAAATATATGAGGCAACAGACATTATCTCCACAAAATCAAAGACTGATAGTTCCTATGTTGCAAAAATAGAGCGACACTCAAATGGCCCTCTATTTGTAGAAATAAACTGTTACCTAAGGATTGGAAAATCCACAACCAGTAAGTTGTTGATTGCTCCATATTTGGACACAAACACATTCATTGTTTCTTTATTAATTTTCAGTTGAAGACTGGAAGAGAGAAAAACATCAAAGGTTTCTTGGTATGCCACACTATGTTGCATCTGGGTCTCACTATTACAATGGTGAAAAATACCGCTTCCTTGTGCTGCCAAAGTATAAACAAGATTTAGAACAAGTTTTTCAAGAAAAAAAGCTTTTCAATATAAAAACTGTGTCACTTATTTGTATTCAAATTCTTGATGTACTGGAGTATATACATAGCAAAGGCTATGTTCATTCTGATATAAAAGCTTCTAATGTCATGCTAGGAAAACCTACAGAACCTGTCACTTCTGAATCAAGAACACGTAAAATTCGATGTCCATCTAGGTTAAGGTATACCCATCCATCAAAAAAAGGAAGTAGTCGAACTCCTATAACTCCTATAAAGCGTTCTAGAAGAAATTTGAGGTCTAGTGGGACAGTGAATTACATAGATGACATTCCTTACTTGGATGAAGTGTTAGATAGACATGATGAAAAACACAGAACAGTGCTTCTTGATATACCCAGCAATTCAGAAATCAAAAATGGTGACAAGATGTCAGATCATGTGTATTTGTTGGACTATGGTCTGGCCTCCAAGTATTTGTTGTCGAATGGTGACCACAAAGAATATTGCACTGATCAGAGAAGGGCCCATGCTGGCACTGTTCTATTTTGCTCTAGAGATGCCCATAAGGGGGTACCTTCAAGGAGGTCTGACTTGGAAACCTTGGCTTACAATATGTTGTATTGGTTAACAGGAAGTTTACCTTGGAGTGACTATTTGGATCAGCCTCTTGAGGTGGAGAAGAAGAAAACTAGGTGTTTCAGGAATCTGAACAGTTTTCTGGAATTGTCTTTCCAAAGAAATGATTTCCCTAATTTTGTGAAAGTGTATTTTGAATATATAAATAGCTTACAGTTTGAGGTAAGTCCTTTGAAATTCACAATAAGCTTTGAACTGATTTTTCCACTCTATCACCCTCTTCATAACTAGGATTCCAGTCTATTCAATGTTCAATTGGTCACGTGACTAATAATTATACACATTTGGGAATCATTTATAATTTCAAACAAGTTTTTTAAGGTAATGTTATGAATATTCAAGATTCACAAAACTACCCACTATCAAAAATTCTGTTTTTTGTAGCCCCCTGTATACAGTTTAAAATTTTGAACCTGTAAAGCACCAACTATTATGAAGAATAAAAATTGATATATAAAAACAAATATTATATATGTAATGTGAGCAAATAAATTCTTTCAAATATTTGAATAAGAATCTACATAACTCAATTTTATCATAATTAAAATTAGTGAATCAAAGACCATACATTTTGTTTGCATCTCCTGAACACAAATCATTTTTTTTCTTCTGGATCCTACAAAAAGAAAATTCAAAATTTGATATCAACCATCTCTATTTTGCAGGAGACTCCTGACTATGACTATTGCAGGAAAATATTCGAAAACAATATAAAATTGTATGGTTATAAAGATGATTCAGTACTAGATTTTGACAATTTAGAGGGTTGGGGAAGTAAACAGAAGAAATCAAAGAAAAACAATGGAAAAATAATCACTTGTGGCAGTTTCCTCAAAACCAGCCCACTCCTACCAATAAACTCCAATATAATGTTCAAACGTCCAAAACTGAGAAAAAAAGCTAAGAACAATGATACTCAAGATAGCATGATGAATTGGTCAAAGATTCTGACTGACCCAGAGACCATAATCAAACAGGCTAGGGAGAGGAAAAATACTGAGGGAAGTGATCCTGGGACACCAAATTCTATGTGTTTGGACATTGAAACTATTGAAAGTATGAATCCTACTTATGCAATGCTGGAAGTGTTCAATAAATGTAAGGAGAGAGAAGGATCTCCAAGGTATAAAAATGACAGGTATGTGGCTAAATAGTATTTTCATCAGTCATAGATGATCTCCAGTAATCTCATTAATCTGACTGGAAAATGTGAAAAAGCATAAACAGATTTGAACTTAAATATAGTGTGACTTTTTTTTCATCTGTAATTGTTTAAGTCACAGATAGTATTTTCATCAGTCATAGATGATCTCCAGCAATCTCATTAATCTGACTGGAAAATGTGAAAAAGCATAAACAGATTTGAACTAAGTATAGTGTGACTTTTTTTTTTCATCTGTAATTGTTTGTCTCAGATAGATTTTGAAATTAGCTTGGTAACCAGATTTATCTGTAAATTCATATTGCATTAGTCAAATTGCAAGATTATTGAGCTCTAATTACAAGATTGGTGATGCCTTATATTTATATATTATTTAATTACAGAATAATTATGTTGGAAAGAGCAATCTTGCAATCATCTAAATTGTCAAAATAATATTTCAATTAGCCAAATTAATTTCAGTCTTTCAATTGAAGTTTAATTGACAGATAATTTGCAAGGTTACTTTTGCAATTAATTTTGCTGCTAAATTTACTTAATTGACAAATCCTGCAAGAATCCCAATTTCCCAAACAAACTTGAAGTTTAACTATTTCATTCCAGTTTCAGTCTTGCAATAATCCTAATTGACAAAAATTATGGAATAAAACTAATTCATTGCAGGATTCATGTTCCAAATAAGCTTATCAAAAAATTAATGTTGCAATTATGTTTAATTTCTAATTGTAAGATTGAATCTTGCAATGAGAGATGAAGAAATGTTGTTTCATTGTCCTAATTGACAAAAAAATCTTGCAATAATTAGACTCATTAATTGCAGAATTCAAGAAATATTCAACAAATTGATCTTACCAGTTATGCTTGCTCAATTTTCAATTGCAGTGATAATCTAACAATTTTCAATTATGAGAGTGAATCTTGCAATAAGAGCCCAAATGGCAAATAAATCTAGCAATCATCTTAATTGATAAAGAACTAATGAGACTAATTAGTTGCAGGATTCATTTTTAATTTAGAAAAATTCAATACATTGATCTTGCAGTCATGCATAATTATTTCAATTTTCCATATCAAATGATGATATGTCAACAAAGATGTCATAATTCAGGCTTGATTGACAGAAAAATCTCAATTTCTCAAATGACCAATTTTTTTCCTCTTTAGCATGAAAACTGGACTCATTGACTTTTAATACCACCATTTCTATTGATTCACTGAATTTCAGTTTGAAAATACACTCACCACAAAAAAAAACGGCCACCAAAATAATTTTGCCAAATTCTTGTTCTAGTTTGGCGGATTTTTCACCTTATCCTATATTCTTGTTTCCGAATGCTAGCCTGAATCTTAGGTCCTAAGAAAAGCTGATCTATTGATCATTATACATGGAAAAACAACACTAAATGAACCAATGACGTCAAAACATTATGTACTTTTAGTAAACAGAAAACTAACCTATTTCCAACAAAATAGAAACAAACAAAATAAACATTCTCATATTCATAGTGATAATCATATTCCTAATTCTCAATTCAAGAATACTCACAAATACAAATATCACAAAATACAGTTACATAGGTACTTGTAGGATTTGAGTATATAAAATACAGGAAGGAATAGTAAACAACAAAAATACAAAACAAAAAAAAAAGGCAAGAAACAAACTGTTGAGACAGATGTGTATAAAAAATTGAATTTGATCTGAATCAGATGAAGTATTCCTTTTTTGGTTTATACATATCATTAGTACAGGGTGATTCACCATAAATGTCCCCCCCTTTAGCTCGGTTATTTTCAAACCGATTTCAAAATTTGATATATCATCTTGAATGATTTTCGATAAAGTTTTTTTCCGCTACATCAGAAAATACAGGATGCTCGGAACAAACGGTCTACAGGGTACTATTTAATTTTTTTCATATGGAACACCCTATTTTTCATTGTATTTTTAGATTCTCCCTGAAGAGCTGATTTGGTAGATGTATCACACTTGGAGTCTAGCGGGAATGATTACAGAGATATAGAGTGTTCAAAATCGAGATTGTTCAACTTTAGGATTTTCATCATCGGTCAAAACGGCTCTCATGTCCATATCTTAACTTTACATTTACTATCTACTGACATTTAATAATTGGAACAGATGTATTTTCTGATGCAACGGGAAAATTAAATCTGAAAAATCATTCTAGATCATATTTCAAATTTTTAAATCGGTTCAAAAATAAGTGAGTTAGAGGGGGGGACATTTATGGTGAATCACCCTGTACCTATATGCACATTAATTACATATTTTGTAAAATTAATTTAATTAAAATAATAAATAAGTGTCAGTAGATCAATATGCAAATCAGGCGATCTACTTAAAATTCAGTAGAACTGGCAACCCTGTAGCGGAAAAAAAGTGTCTTATAAAACCTGTAATAGTATATTATACACCGAGGTGGGAAGTGATTCATTCCTCTCGCGAGATTAGCTAGTTAACCGAGACGCAAAGTGTTGAGGTAAGCTATAATCTCGAGACAAGAATGAAACTCACTACCGAGGTTTGTATACTATTTTATTTAAAACCATCTAATTTCCATCAAAATTAATAAATCTATGTTTCATTCTGAACATACCTGAATTATTACATGAGTTAGGGCGGGAAGTAGTGAGGGGCGGGAATTGAGGGCGGGAAGTAGAGGTGTGTAACCTTCAATGACGTTAGTAATGACAACATTGCATATATGGTTGTAAATAAAATAATATACTAATTTCAGTATGGTAGCCGATGTTATCGAAGGTTACACGCCCGCCATGATGGCCGTTCACAATAGAATGACAGAGCGGCTGGAGCTGGAATACGACAGCGAGAAGAGCGATCACAAGAGCGAGGGCCGGCCTTCGGCGAAAAAGAGGCCCGGCCGGAAGACTCGGGCCAGGGCGTCCGAGTCTCCTCCGGTGCAGCGAACGGCTCGGGCGAAGTCTCAGCAAAATGGTGAGTTGCTTGTTGTTGGGAATCTTGTAGACAATGATGGAAGTAGGATATGGTGTAATTGCTGATGCGCTTTTGTTTCAGAAATTTTACTCGACCTCTCGAGAACAGCGAGAGCAATGGTTCCGTCGATCTTCTAATAGATGGCAACATTGCACAATTATGACATCTGTCAGTTTTGAAATAATCCTACTGTTACATATGTTCCGCGTACCTTAAATGCCATTCGCCATTTTATTTCCACTCGTCACAGCAGCAATAGCAGCATCACCATCTAGTGGGAAAATGTTGAATCAACGTCTCGCTCGTTGTGATGTAGAGAAATCATAGTAGGCGGTCGAGCGATTTTTCTGAAATTTTCAATACGTAATAATGGCCGAATACGCGCACCATATCTTACTTCCATCATTATACAGACCTAACAAAATTTTTGTGGGCTAAGCACATAGACCCTTAGATCATACAGGGAATAGATGATGTATCTAGGGCGGTTTGTTTTGTAACTAAAGGGGGGAATAGAGTACAAGTCTTCCTATTGGCCGATTTGAAATTGCCCCTTGTGACGTTCCATCTTCGTGACTGTGCGTTTTCAGATTCTGTGTTTTTTGTGGATTTTATCAATTCTTGGGTGTTTTTGTGAGAAAAACTGTTTTTAATTGAAGTGTATTGTGAAAATAATGACTATGGGCAGATCCTGTGCTATTTGTAATAGCAAATACACGAAATCTTCATCAAAATCGTTTCATTTGTAAGTATTCCTCAGGCGTAGATGCTGACAGGCACTAGGAAACTTGATCCTTAATAATATTGAAATTTTATATGAACTCTTATAATTTCAAATATTCTAGATTTCCAAAAAACATGGAACTAGGGGTGCAGTGGTGCCAAATAATTGGATTCAGGGTAGAAGCTTTGACCAAACACACTTTTCTATGCTCAGATCATTTCTCTGCTGAAGATATCCATTCTCATCCTTCTGGATTGAAATACCTTGATAAAAAAGCTATTCCCATAGTGAATAGGTATGTTGATGTTCATAGAATTGACTATACGAAACATAAACAAGGAAGATTATTTTCAGGGAATCATCAGAGGCTCTTGTAATCACACCTACAGAAGAAGGTTTAGAAAACCCTCAAAAAGCATTACCCAGTACCAATTTTAGTTCATTATCTGAAAAGATAACTGAAAACTGTTCATATATCATAATCATCGCCAAGCAAAGATAAGGTGACCAATAGAGTAAGGAGTGTCTTGACAAAATCGATTTTATTAAAAAATCAGTGATTATTATTTGTACAATTCATCAAATATATATTATAGAAAAATCTTACGTGAAAAACGTGTTTTACTACTACCTCTATGTATTCCAATGATTCTTCATCTGATGACATGCTGATTCAACAACAATGGACATTAAGCTTCAGAGGGTCACAATATTCTATTATATTTTATATGTTTCTATTGTATCAAAAATATTGAAATCATCAAAAAGCCTCATCTGAAAAATGTGTTTTAATCATTTCCTAAAGTTGATGTTTTTACTACCATTAAAACATGAATGTTTGCACTAAGCACTTCTTATATCACTTTCTTTAGCTTCTTCCATTTCTATGAGTACTATATTGTAATAGATTTCCTGAATGAATGATTTTCATCAGCACAAAAAGAAAAAACACTTAAAAAACATAAACTTCCAATTTATAATAATAAGCAGTAAATTGAAATAATCAGTGATTATTTTAATGATATGTTGATACTCTTTGAATTTTGTATTTTTGGAGACCTATCAGAAGTGAAATTTTGACATTTCAGATTGTATTTAACAACAAATGATTCATTACTATTTTATTGAAATTTGGACCCCTCAATGAATGCACGGCACTGTTCACTTGTACCAAAGATGACCTCCCCCCCCCCCCGAAAGCGCCGTAGTCAGCGCCTCCTACCTTTACAAAACAATGCAACCAGTATATTCAGTATCTATTCCCTGTATGATCTAAGCATAGACCACTTGAGAAATGAAATAAATCCAATCATAGGCATTTTATTCAAAATCCGAAATATCGTTCCTGTAAAATACCTGAAGTGTATTTCCTTTTGCCTCATATATTCAAATTTACAATATTTAATTTCTGTGGATGTGCGTGTCGGTGTGGGTGTGCTTATAATAAATTTGTGTAAATATTAAATATATTAATTCGCACTAGAGGACATTTGAACCGGTAAACGAGACAACACGGCGCACGAATTGTGGGCGTGGTCTTGTCAGGTCTCAGCGTTCAGCACAACGTTGCCAAGTCTCCAACATCTACATGATATTTTGTTATGAAGTATAAAAAATATTTGGACGTGCTCACTATAAAATTATATATATATATATAATAATATGCCTCCTAATAGAGAGTTGAAGTGTTGTCATGAACGTTAACGTAAACGTAGAAATTGACAGCTACGCATGCGCATTTTCCAATTCTTCACGTTTGCGTTGTTAGTGGGCTTACGGGTGTACGTTATCTCACGTTCCTTCACGTATACCTTAAATATCAACGTACGTTAACCAAACTATATTCGAAATATGCCGATGAGTCAAAATTATCAAATTCGAGATCACCAACGAGTTCTGCATCAAGGAGTCCTCTAATTTTGACAGGAATAAATGTTCGAATCTAAACACACAACCAAAAATGACCAATACAAACCGAAAACAAAATGTATTATTACGTTATGATGACAGTGACGACCAAAGTGGCGACTTCAACTCTATTTAACGACAATACGTAAACGTTATTTTTCGTACGTTAACGTCTACGTGGAGGTCTACGTACAGTGATTACTTCAACTCTCTATTATGTTTTATTCAACGACAGGGCTCTCACATCTTCTTGATAACTTGATTATAAATGGTGACTTGGCAACCTTGCATCATGAGTGGTAATGAAAGATTATCTGACCAATAAGGAAACAGCATAAAAACTGACGTCACCATTTATTCGACGTATCGCCAAATGACCGCCATGACGGTACGTTTGAAATTAACTCTGAAATTCAACAATTTTGAACAACGGATAGACTCATTATTTACAAAACAGCGTGAGAAGCGTTGCAAAAATTAATTTAGGTCCCTAACAACACAGTAGAGTATTTTCGGAAACAATTTTCACAGTGGAGATGCTTTTGTAAATCATTCTTAGTATTCAATACTGTACTCCACTTTGAGTAATGGTTGACTTCTACAAAATATTTTTTTTGTTATTTCAGTGACGCGGAAGAAAGATTCTCTTCTACATTTACCTTTGAAAAAAGCGAAAAGTACCCCTCTTCGAAGGAATTACAGGTTGAGGGGTTGAAGGGAGCATTCCAAGTAATGAATTTGACTTTCTTATTTCTAGTGTTAGCGCTATATATTTATTGAGACTGGTACATATAAAATTGAAATTTCCATGTAGGTAAATTTTTTTTTTGTTAACAGTTGTATAGTCTTTATTTGCTTTGTTGAATCTTATTTGACAATTTATTTGTTTGACTCCGAAAAGACTCCGAATAATAATTAAATATTTCAAGTATTTTCTTATTTTTGTAGGTAATAATTTAATTTTATATAAAAAACAAAATTCCCAGTTCCTTATAGGTGAAATTTTCTTTTTCATGACTTTTTCAAATCCATTAAAGACATTTGTGTATTTTCCTTGTTAGTTGTGGGTATGGCAATTTACTACAAAACTTCTTTGATCCAAGGTATGACAACTAAAATTTAGAGAATATGTCCAATACATAAAATTGCATTTTTTGACTGATGACTCAGCTTTTGGAATTCCTGGTTTATCTGGACTTTCGATTTTTCTAATGAGGCACCTTGTATGTTATCAATTTTTTTACTCAAAATCACATGATACTTTTTACTACATTGAAAAAATTTCAAGAAAAAATTGATATAAGAATACCTAGAAAAATATATTTTTCACCTTGTTAGTTTTTTAGGTTCCTGTTGAATTTAACTTAATTCTGTTACTATCTGTTTCTTATGGTGACAATTGGCACATTGTTGCTTCAGAATTTCATTTGTTATTCTTTAAAATAAAAATATGGTAATAATATACAGGGTGGCCTTTTATAAAAATGGAAAACAGGTGGCAATTTCACTGTCTATATACTTTCCAACCAAAAAGTAATGATGAAGTAAAATGCCCATAGCCAACTTTCAACTTCAGAATTGTGGATGATTTGACAAATCTGTATTTGTACTTAAAATGTTGTTTATGCATATTATGGTTCATTAATCAAGGTTTTACGAGGATGTAAATTTCTGGTGTTCCCAACTATTGAAATGGTTTTGATAATAGTCATGTCTATTTATTTTCTCGCTTACATTTTATGTGCAAGAATCGGTAAAATGTTTTGAAAACAACGTTCAAGTCTTATCGCTCCCCAGCAAAATTTTCAAATAATCAAAAATTGTTTTTTGGAAATTTAGGATGAAGTTGCCTTGAATGTGGAAATATCGTTTCGGCCTATTAGTCGTAATGAAAAAGTAACATTGTTACATTGTAAGGTTGGGTACACTTGTTTTCGAGTCAGTGATTCATTATGTGCAATTCAATCAAATAATTCATGAACATCTCCTTTTCACTCTTTCTCTACCATCTTATAATGCTTTCTTTGGTTGAGTGAAAAAGGAAAGATATGCTTGTGTTTTGAACATGGGTTCTCAAAATATTCAATGTTATTTTCAAAGTAATTATATTGTCAAAATACAATATATTCGGCAAGTGCCACTCAATTTGACATCCGTTGCCTCACCCTGTTCAGGTAAAATATGTTCAATAATTATTGGCTGCTCCTTTTTCACGAATGTAAATTTGGTAGTAGTCGTATTTTTCGTTGGATTGTCGATTGTCACTGGAGAAGAGATGTCCAGGGTGATTGTTAATATTTCACTCAATAGCTATCTCAGTTAAAAACGTTCAAATGGGCAAAAATGAAGTCTTTCTTATGGGCATTCAGAATCTATTACAAGAAAATTCAAGAAAGCATCATAGACCTATACAATTTACATAAACTAGTATTTTTCAAATGGAACACCCTGTAGGTTATTGTCCAAATCGGTAGAGCTCTCTCTTCTGATTTCAAATATATATTCTTTATCGAGGTTATCTTTGTCAGTTTTCAAATAATGTAGATTCTAAGGCAGCTGTAGAACTCTAAAAATTTTTTAAAAAAATTGTCGCATTATATGTATTTGAAATCAGAAGAGCTCTTCCGTTCAGATAAATAAAATACAGGGCGTTCCATTCAAATAATAGCAGTTCATGTAAAATTATTAGGTTTACAATGCTTTTTTGTATTCTCTAAGAAGTACTAGATTCTGAATGCCAATAAAAAATACGTCAGTTTCTGTAAGACCAATATTAACTGAGATAGCTATTGAGTGAAATATAAACAATCACCTGTACAAGAAGATCGATGTTACTGCACTACAATCTTTGATTTCGTTGAGATTTTGACACAGCAATAGAAAAATTACCCCTTACCCTTACTGACAGTGAAGTTTTTTTATTGTTCCATACAAATTTGATTAATTCCTATTTTGTTTTTGATTGTGGTGCAAATTTTACAGTGACAAATCTGCTTTGTGTATATTTTTGTTCAACTCATAAATATGTATATTTTGTCATTCTTGATTCTGTGATTTACTTTCTATAATAAACAAGGTATATAGTGTGAAACATTTGCTTTATTCATCGACCATCAATAGTCAAAATCATGGTGGAAATTCAATATGGTGTGCTAGGACGCATCTTCGTATACGTAACGTAAAAAAAATGTTATCAAATCGCCTGAGTCGCCGTGATCATGCTTGGTGTAAGTATAGACTCGCATTGAGGTTATGCGCAGAAAATACGAATTCAAGATACATGACTAGCACATCATATTATATTTCCGCTATAGTCAAAATGATGAATCATTGCAAGAAAAACTTTACCAAAATACAATATGAGTCATCAAGTCAATACCATCACAATTCAAAAGTGGTTCGTAAGTCGGTGAATATCTGTGAGATCGTCCACAAGTTCCTCAATTTTTGTTCCAATTTTTTTAGAAACCTGAAAAAATGCAAAGTAAATATCCAGAGATGAGCATCAAAACAAGAAGCAAATTACCTCGATTTTTTCTGTTATAGAAAGATGCAAAAAATTCCATACAAGGTCACCATCAATGACAGACCTGCAAGGGTTATACTGCAAGTTTCTCCAACACTTATATGTCCTGAAACAGATATTAATTCATAGAATGTCACAAATGTCTTGCCTTCAACGGTAGATATGTGGATGAACTTGATTTTTTTTGCTATCGCAGAATTGGATGTGAGTGAAGAAAAATAGGGCATTTTTTTAAATTCAAAACTGACCTGAAAGCTTTTGGATTCAAACCGGCTATGTGAGCCCCCTGAGATACCAGCACATTTTGCAACATGAGTAGCCTCCTGTAGGTTTTTTCTTGTATTGGCATAATATATCCTAACCCTCCATCAAGTGTAGCTGAAATAAATGAAAAAAATATTCAAATGGCTCAAATTACCATTGTAAGTTGTTTGTTCCTACCAAACATTGTTATAAACTTCCTATCAGCACCAGAAAAATGCTTTTTGTCTTCACCCAACTCCCCTAATTTGCACCTTATTTTGAAGAATGTGTTCACAGCCTGTCCAAGATGAAAATCTGCCTTTCTCAACAGCCTTTGTCCTAAAACAGTTGACTTCTTCCACATCTTGCTTTCCTTTCTGATGAGGGTATATTTTTACCCATTGAATTAAAAACGAATCAATTCAAAATTTTCTTATTCATATTTGAAATAGTGCATTTATATATTGTTCACTACAAGGTCGAAAGAATATGGTGGTGTTCCAATTTAATTAAGTTGATGGCAATTTTCGGTAAAATCAGATGTTGAGAAAAATATTTTCATTTAAAAATTTAAAAATCATCAAGCAAGAAACAAGGCCATCACACTCCGAGAAAAATCACCTGATAAACCAATTATCAATATTCCATTCACCAACCTCCTAAAGATTCTCTAGCTTCTGGTTGATACATGTACAAAACCAAATTTTTCTCCCTGTCTGACACCAAAAATCCTACAGTGGCGTTATCTACCATATACTCAATCGAATATACTTCACATGGCTTGAAATCCTGAAACAATAATAGCAAAACAATCACAACGGATCCAAGAAGTGAAGATAAATAGATTTCCTTACCCTAGATACTAGAGACAGAGTTCTACACTCTTCTTGAAACCTCAACAATGCGATAGATTTATACACATCGGCTATCAATAGCAAACTCTTTATGACCATTATCTGGTGTGTATAAACTTGTGTGTCAATGAATGCAACTCCTATCAAGTCGTTGTCCTTCAACTGCCAAATGTATATCTGAACAAAAAAAAATTAACTCATTAACAAATATAAATTATTATGTAATTAGTGGTTACACAGATGTGGCGTATTTGCTTGATTTTCATGTACTTTGCGAAATTATCAACGATTATTGGGCTCTGTTATCAAACAGCGCTAGACAAAATAGCGAGCGACAAAATAGCGCGGAACAAATAGCGCGTGACAAAATAGCGCCAATAGAAAACAGCACCGCGACATAATAGCGCCGACTGAAATAGCGCGTCATAATAATAGCGTGTTTGTGCTAATAGTGGCGTACTGATAATGGAAGCGCACTTCATAGAAAAGTAAAATCAGTAGTGAATAATAAACTTGCTCAACTTTATTAAATTCCAAAAAACTCTATTAACATCGACTAGTAACCTAACTACAAAGATAAATTGTACGCAATACAACGTAAAAAGTTTAGAACACTACCAAATCTGTATTGGGCAACCAGTACTTGTAATCTCTTTCTCAATTGAAAATATTTGCAATTGGATTTTTCGTTTGCCCTATATCCTGCGCGGTACCTTGTGATGAATATTTCAAAGTGGCTCTGTTCCTTCCTGATTTTGTCGAATAACTTGGAATGCGAAGGATGGTGGCATTGAAGAGTTTTTTGAAATGAATTATGCCATGCTTCCACCGAATTGTTGCTCCTGGGTAAGTCAGTGTTGATTCTCTCGTATAGGTTCCACATCTCAATCGGAAATCTTGGGGGTATATCATGCAGTCTACGGCCAACGTAGTTGTCTTCGAAGTAGTCGATAATTGGCTTTAATACCGCTGGAAAGCTGGCAACGATAACTTCGAATGCAAACTGGACGTCTTGTTCTGGAACATAACTCAAGGCTAAAAGCATTTTACATTGGATCCTTATTTCATCATCATCTTTGTATAGCTTTGTTAATTGATTAGATTGGATATGCTTCCATAGATTTTGTGCCAAATGAAAATTGCAGCCTACTATTTTGGTATCAGGAAATTGATTATTTATTGTGTTGAGAACCGCATTCTCGAAGTCACAGATTACCAGCGTACATACATTAGACAAGTAGAATCAAAGTCTGAATTGGGCGAAAAAAGCCTGTAATTAGTAAGGTTGCGGTTCCTCTATTATCTGATAGATGCCAGCACGCTCGGACGTCAAAGACGACTCGATGTTGCCAAGCTGATTATATCGTGGTAACTTTCGTACTTTTTGTATTCTAGCCTTCCGGGGAAAAATACATTTGAACGATTTATCGTGTGCTGTTGAATATCCTATGAATTTATTAATTTATTTCAAACTGAGTACATTTTTCTCATTACAGTTTCAACATCATTTGGTGATAGGATTATGGACTATATATTCCTAGTCAAATTGCCAAGTAAACCTGTCAACTATGTGAAACAATTTCATGACTTCTCAATTTCTGTGTTTTATGAGTTTCGTGATTCTTTTCCGTTGTGCTTAGCAGTGGTGTAGCGGTAGATTTATTGTATATGTTGTTGTGAAGGATATTTTATTGGATTGTTCTTTTGCTATTGTGTTTGGTGTTTACAGCGTGTGTTTTTGAATTCTTGTCAATTGCTGTGCTGATTTTTTGAGAATATTCAATGGATAGACCAAGTTACGTGTGTGGTGTGGAAGGTTGTTATTCCAACAACCTGTCCATTGGAGTACATTTGTTTAGGTTTCCTAAAGATCTTATTAGGTAAGTGAAGAGTAAAAAGGTAGAAATAAAACTTTCAATAAATAATGAAAGCTGCTTCTATAGATAGTTGTTGAGTTTTTTGAAGAAGTTTTAACTTCAATTGCATTAGTGTTCAGAGGCAATAAAAGTTCACCATTATGGCTGATTTATATTCTCTAAATCCCCAAGAACATTCTTCGAAGAGTTTTTTTTTCAATACTCTGAAATGATTTTAAATGCAACTCTGATATCATAATAGGTGTATAATTTTTCTTTACATTCTTTAAGGTGCCGAGAATGGGCCTACAGATGTGGAATCCTTCACAAGTATGAAGGTCAACTCCACATGCTCTATAATTCTTACTATAGGGTATGTTCATTACATTTTGAATCAGAAATGATAGTTGAACTCAGAAAGCATCTGAAAAAGCATTATTTATTGAAATTCGCTAATAAAAATTTCAAAACTATCAACGAAAGTGGGGAAAAATTACATAAAAAAATAGTTATTTGGAGACATGAATGAATTGATACTTGAAGAATACTTTTCTCATGCATACAAATTTGATATCCATTTGGGGAAGTACACGGATACTTGTATTAATTTTGTTTTATTTATTTTGACACATTGACATAACTCGTTGATTAGTTGTTTAATTTTGTTATATGTATGTTATATGTATATGTTTATATATCCTTATTATAAACAAAGATGTTTCTTGGGGTAACAATGGACAAAACAACAACAATTATATATGAATAAAATTTATGAATGTTACAATAGATATTTTCCTTCATCACATCCCAAAAGTGCAAAGTAATAGTTTCTACTATGATTCCACCCAAAATGAATAAATCGTTAGATCTTCAACAATTACTTGTGATGGAAACTCGACACAAAAAAATGTGATTGTCCCGTTTATTTATGAATTTTGAATCTGAATGATTACTACCTATGTATAAAAAAGGAAAACACTGATTGTCATCAAAAAATACAATTTTTTTTATATTTTTTGAGAATGTGCCATGAACATCTAAATACTGGTTTAGTTTTGTTTCAAATCTGATTTTCTGAATGACTTCAATAATATTATTTCGAAATATATTCTGCATTCCTGTAAGAATATAAATTCAATCAAGTGAGCTCGAATCCGAAATATGTGGTACGCCCGTGGATACAATCAAGAAAGCACATGATCTAGTACAGTTGATGTACATTTTTACGTAGCGACATCTACAGAATAATAGCGGAAGCGCAACCTTAGAATGTATGTTAGGTGGTTGAAGGTCATTGGCGGCCGTTTTCAGAGATCAAAGGATTTTCAAACTTTGCACCTACTTGTCTAATGTATGTACGCTGAGATTACACTAGTTGGTTTCAACGTTGGATCTATCTCTAGTAGTTTTCCGAAAAGTCTCTCATAACTTGATTGTTGTTTGTTAGGCAGCAAAGCATATATTAGAGGAATAGCTTTTCCGTCTATCATGGAGTGAATAGTGAATAACTGGCAAAAATATTTCGGTGCTACACTGAAAGTGCCATCCAAACACCAGTTTCTAAATTCACTCAGAAGGAAGATATTTCCATAAGTAGCGAAAACAATAATTCTGTTCACATCTTCTGTTCCTGAATCCCACAACAGAAACTCTTCACCTTTCTCTGTTCGTTTATATTTCTCTTCAATCGTTACATCACGAATGCTGTTGCATGCACTGTTAACCAAAAGCTCCTTGTTTCTCACTCTTTGAATTGTTTTTCTCGCAGCATCATAATTTGGTAATAGTACTGATGCTTCCATCGATACTTGGCTAGTGCTGGCTTGTAAAATTTTCCTCGGACCATCTTCCGTCGTCCTTGCAATGTTCTTAACATTTTCCATAATTCCAAAAACTTCGTTTTTAGCATCATTCGGACCATGACTATGGGACGTTGTCGGTTTTTTGGAGTCGCCGCAAACTATCAATCTACCTTTACAATATTTCTCCGTACATCTCCAGGTAGTGGAAGTGAGATGCACTTTGTCTTTTCTGTATCTGTATCCTTCATGGATAAAAATAGCACCTCCTTTTTTTGAACGAGAAAGATTCATCGTGACGTGACAATTCGTTCTGACGTTTTGGGCGCTATTTTGTCGCATTCCCAAAAGTCTGGGCGCTGTTTAAAACCACGCGATTTTGACCCTCTGTGAAATGTCCTAGCGCTTTTTTGTCCCACGCTATTTTGTCGAGCGCCATTTTGTCTAGCGCTGTTTGATAACAGAGCCCGATTATTGAATAAGTGCATCATCTGATTATGATCTAAAATCGAATCTATGTCATAATCCACCATCTGCGTATGAAAATTCCAAAATGTCAATAATGAATTTCACAAATCGATATACTGGCACCTAACTCAATACTTATAAGACCCCCAAGGCCGAAAAAAAAACTTACTTTTTGTCCCACTGCTGACACCAAAAATCCTTTGACTTGAGAAAGTGCTGTAACAGGTCCTTTCTGATCCTTGGCATAGATTTCTTTGAATTTGTTCTTAGTCAAAGGTTGACCTGGCTCAGGAACTACTTCAATAATATCATAAATCAAAATCTAAAAAATAAAAATATTCAACGATCTCAAACAAGTTTAACCACGGATACCACGTTACCCTTCCTCTCGATGTTATATCTTCACCATAATTGTAATTCGTACCGACAGCAATGTAACCTTTAAGTCCAGATCTAGTACCTTCATAGGCCAAAGATACGTTTTTCAAGCAATTTACGTGCTCCCATTCGTCCAAGTCCAACTTGGTATTGGGAATGATATCCCATGAAACAGGCGAGAATAAACACAAGCTGAATAGTTCTTGTGGGGGGTATGGGAACCTATAATCAAAAAATCGTATCAATACTTCACCATTCTTTGTATTTTTTGTTTTTTAAATTCAGTTTCTTTTACCTGTCTCCTTTATCTTCGATGGAAAGTTCTTTGTCTTCCCCGTTGAATTTGTAATACTGAATAGAAGGTTCAGCTAAACTAGTGACGAGACAGTAAGTTTTAGATTCCAAATGGTAGGTTACAAAGTGAGGAGTACACCTTAGAGGGACTTTTCTTACTGGCCAAGCTGCATCATAACTCAGGTGAGTTGGTAGAACACCGATCCTCAACTCAGACTAAAAATATGGGAAAAAATCATGAAAAAACTTGATCTTTTGTCTAAAGAAAATAACAAAATGTTTTATGACTGAAATCGTCCAAGAACGTCAACATATATCTTGAACCTGCCAGGGAACATTCAACGGGACCCATAACATTAGAATGAATAATCTGAAGCAACCTGGATGTCTTGGTGGTACTTTCACTAAAAGGTAATTGGTGACTCTTACTGGTAGCACACACATATCCTTTGGGAATTTTCTCAGGAAATTTTATGCCATGTACCAAACCATCTCTATGCTTATTCAAATTGAAGAAATCCACATGTCCCTTACGTTTGTGCCATAATAACGCATTTTCAGGAATTTCAGAACGTGTCAGCATTGCAGTTTCAAAGGGCTTATCAATTTTGAAATGATTATTTTGCAAGGTTGCGGTCGCAATAACTTTTCCTAACATTTATGATCTGAGCTCCTTCTGAATGGAAGTTAACTTTATTTCCTTTTCGAACAATCTGGCTCACAGAAAGAAGATTGACTTTCAAATCGGGGACATAGTAAACATTTTCGACGTTTACATCAAAATCTCGATCAGAAACTCTTACGGGTAACCGAATATCACCAACACATTTTTTTTCCATTTTCTGATCATTGGCAGTTGTGATGAGTAATTATTAATTTCGATGTTTTCAATACCAGAGGTTTCGATTCCCATTATAATGGGTTTATACTGATCAGAAAGACCGGCACCAACCCATTCATCGGAAACTTTCAATCGATGCAGTTAAGCTTATACGCTGTTTGGATGATCTTATATTTCGCAACAAACCGACTTTTCTTGTTAGACCAGAGCCTTCAAAAGCGTTTTCAAGGTTTTGCCAAGCTTCTTTGGCAGTTTTCGTTTCTTGAACGTGAATATACAGCAAGGGATCAACCAACAATATGAGCTTAGAACGAGCTTTCGTGACATTTCGTGCTCATTTTTCTATCATTTGACACACCAGAAATACTTTCCTACAAATCCTGATCTTCAAGATAGGCTCTAACTCCGACCTTCAACGCGTCGTAATTTTCCCTGCCTTTTAGTTTCTCGATTGGAGGTAACTGATATGACATCTTCGATCGGGTTCACGTCTGAGCTTATTCCTGAGATTTTCAATATTTCAAGCACTTGAATCTGGGCCCATAACCAATTGAGATAAATGAGAAAACCTTTTATAGAACTGATAAAATGTGACAATGAATATTTCTGGCATTACAATTGACATTCAACTACTTGAATATACTACTTGTTCCAAATTACTTCACAACACAAATCAGATTAGCAAGAATTAAATTTAGGTCTGGAGTGAAGAACATCCAGTAGGAGTCAAAAATTACCTTTTTATTGAAATATAGGAATCCCTGAGGACAATTCACGTTGTTGAACGGAGCGAAACTGATGACTTCTCCATCTATCACCATGGCATGGGATCTGAGTTCTCCTCTAATTGTTAGAAACAGCCACTGGGGGTTGGCACCACAAATGAACACTCCGTTATACCCTAAAATACAATCCTCTTATAACAGAGATCATTTCAAAATAATAATAATAAATAATTATGGAGCTTTATTGGATACCCAAAAGGCCACCGACCGAGGTCCTTCAGCCTGTATTACACAGTGATTATACATTGAATTTGAATTCATCATTATTGTATGTACCGGGCGAACAACTAAGAACGGCTCTGTCGGCCATATCTCAGCAACGAATAATGATACATGTTTGAGATAGAATAAATATAATGATATGCATATCATTACATGATGTAATAGAGAAACTAAATCTCAACAGACCAACGAAAACCGCAACATGATAGCTTTTCGCCAAAGGAAGATATCAACTATCAAAGTTGGAATTACATGGGTCCATATTCTTGACGATTATTGATTCAACTTTTTTTGCCAGAAACTTTTATGATGTCGAAGAATTGGAGAATCACCTTCTTGTATCTGGCACCCTTGATTGTATACACTAACAAGATGATCCACCCCACCTCCATGTAAAATGTTGAATCCGAATTCGCCCTTAGTTCTTCGCTGATTCGTAGGTGACGCTAGCAAAACTTATCAAAATATGCCCCAATTGTCTATAGTCTCGAAATCTGCTCGAGTTAATCTATCCACAAGTTGCTGAACTCTACCTCGGAATATCCTTTTTGAATCAAGAAAATCATCAACTTTGATATTCTGAAGGCTTTTAAATAAATATATTTAATCCGGCTCTGATGCGACATTCCATCTTGCATAAAAACATCAAAATATAAACATATATTCTGCATTGCCGATCTCTACCCTTCGCTGCTCAACAAAAAGTAGCTCACATTCTCGCTAATATCGATATCCGGCACACACTGAATAAAATTTCTGGCTTCATTGCTCTCGTAAGGATGGTTCATCTTGTTGGTGTAAATCAAGGGTAGTACTCACCATGGCAGAAATACAATATGGTGTGTATAATATCATTTTAAAGCTATATACTGTGTCTACACTGACACCATTATGGTATTACGGGTAAATTGATCTGTGAGTTCGCTGGCAATTGTTTTACTCGCGGTTACGTCTAAAAGGATGCGTACACACCATGTACGTCATGTAACTTATATGATTTTGCACTTCGCACTGACTTTATCGAGATTTTGAGCGATTGGATTTTGAATAAATAAATAATGGTCATGAATATCCTGATTCAAACCTTCGAAAAATGGCCAATCTTGTTTTATAGTGCAGAGTAAAAAAGTCTAAGAAAGTAAGTCACAAATCACAACCGACAGAAGAGTAGGTCTCTACCTTCCAACAAAAATAATCTTGGAAAACTATGTTATTCACTTAGCCTTACCTGTCAAAACAAAAACCCTTTTTGAAAAAAAAAAAAAAATGAGGAATGAGATTAATCAAAAACATAAACCTTAAGGTAATAACTTCGATTCCCTTTTCTGTACCTGAAATCTTGTGGAGGCCTTGACACAGACGAATCATTCTAACTTCATTGTTAGGTTGAGCAATTCACATAAATAATGTACTTACTTTGAAAGTAGATTCTTCCTTTTTAACACCGTTTGGGCGAAATCATCAAGGCTGACTGGGTGGCTGTTGACTTTGTTACATTTTTTTTGTCATACAGAATGTATGAAACTTTGTTTTTTGTCGTATATTTGAGACAACAAAATAGATCCTTTTACCAACATCATTTCCTATCACTAACCTGAAATATTATCGAAGTATCTCAACTTGAGGATCCTTTCTTGCAAAGCAAAGAAATCAGAATTCTCCGTCTCAATCCTTCCTTCCACATTCGGAGAATACATGATGTTGTGCTTGATCTTCTTGAACCTGAGTTTGAGGTTGCCGCGCGGAAATCTGAATACCTCGTAAGCGTACAGGTCTCGATCCATCCTCACGAGGAGAATGGGCCTGGAGCCGTTATTGCCCAGACCCACCATGAGGATTTCTTTGACCTGGTGCTGCTCTTGGATTTGTGACTCGTTGGCAGGATTGGCAGGGTTCAGGGTTACCGATTCTAGACTGTCGACCAGTACCTTGAATTTCAGTTATTTAGGAAATTATTACGATCGTCTCCAAGTCAATACTGACGAATCTCGAATATTAAGCATAAAAAATACAGTTTTAAAAGTTATAAATACTAAATACTCCAAGTAGGGATCGTTAAGGAGCGTTGAAGGTTGCATAAAGGTGATAAAAAGTTTTTCACGATGTCTTGAAAACTATGTCACAACTTCTCCCAAATCAAACCAAATCTTTATCTTCTGACTTTTGATTATCAATCATATCATACTTATCAATATTTGAAAAATAATGTGTCATATGTCAATCCTTTACTGAGATGATATTCGTTTTAAACTACGTTGGGGAGTCTAGTACTTCTGATTGCTGCTAATTAACTTTCAAAATCAAAATGTATGTGTGTTAGCGACCATATTCAAACTGAATGTTCAATCACAAAAGCTGATAGCTCCTTTGAAAGAGAAAATGAAGGTGTTTTAAGAAAGTATGAATGTTTCAAATTTTCATAAACAATAATTGAGAACCTATGAAGCATTATAGGGATGGACTCGAGAGCTACGATTCGCCCTACAAGAAGATTTTGAGACAATTCCTCAAGACTGCTTGGGAAATTTGTACAACTCGATGACATGGTATGGTTGGATTCTGTAATTCAAGCTCTAGGAGGACATACTCGTTATTGACTATATGTAGACAGTCTGCTTTTTATTTATTTTTTTGTAATTGAAGTGTTTTTGCCGGTGATTGATTGTAGATGAATTTAAACAACTTAATGACTTCATAAGTCACTTGTGTCTTCTCCTTAAAAGAAGAAATTGACGTGAATCAAAAACCATTGTATCAAGAAGGCATCACACTTCAATACAAAACATAAGGAAGCTGAGTTTAACAGCTCACTTTTGTCACAGCCGGTTGAGAAGTTAAGGGTGAAAATGCAAACAGCCATCAGCTTCTCAAGAGACCTAAAATCCAGGCTAACATTCCGAAACATATATCTACGATTCATTCGAACTTTCACCAAAATCGGAGAACGAACTATCATAGAATTATTATTGCACTACCTAGTTCAAAATACAATTTAGAATTATTAACGAAGCAGACTATGACGTACTATCTAAATCTAGTGACATTTGGGGACATTTTTCTATGGTAAGTTTCTTGACTTATCCTTCACACATACCTACCCGAAAATATGAATTAGCGATAGAAGATAAGCGAAGTTACTGAAAGCTGGCAAAGCGGTCAGTTTACTTTGTTCCTACAAAACAAACCGCTCAGAAGTTGTTGTCGTCAGGTGGGGCGACGTGTTATTTTCTATCGCAAATAAGATGAAAGCCGTCAGTATGGTCTAACCTCAAACCTTAACAAGAATGGAAACAAAATATAGCCCAGTATGATGTGAATGAGGTTTACAATCACTTTCGCCAGACTTGAGTCATCAATTTCTTGGAGAAATTGAAATATTCAACCTTTAGATAAAGATTCAAATTAGAATGATCAACCTCAAAAACGAGCCATCAACATCATTGATATTTTGTATATACCCATAACTTTATAATCGTCAATGATTATGCTATTCTAATATTCATGTTTCGTCTAAAATTCCCATTTCATCAGGTATTCGATATGTATATTTTTAGGAAATTCTCCAATTTCCACCCATTTCATTTGTTGAAAACGTCATTTCAGGTACCATTGCTAACTATGATGTTTCCGGAATCATAGATCGATTGATAAATCTTGTACGTCATGAAAATGGTGGAGGAGCCGAAATTATATTTTCACGTTTTTTTTCTGAGCTCAAATTTGATCGCACGAGGAAAATAAAAAATACATGTTCAATGAATTCTAATAAATTATACAGAGGAATGAAAATATGAATGTTAGGAATTTGCTCATTAAAAAAGTTACAGGCGATCAATCTGTCAATTATTTTTCTGGCCGGTTCATTTTCCCTATTTGTCTTACCTTGTATCCAAAACAGAGGTTGTTCACGTAGAAGCTGAGCTTGAAATCTGGAATGGAATAAATCTCCAAGTTGCTGTTATCCCTGACGACGAACAGCCAGTAGGTCGGCCTGTTCGGCGTCAGATACTTCTTCCACCAATTGTAGTAGACCTTCGGTTTGGGGGCAGGGGGATTCAGAGAGGGCATCTTGAAATCGCCGTCGCCGTATAGGAGATCGTCTTCGTTCTCCATTTCGGGCTTCATGTCTTCGGTGATGATGTGCTGGGGCACTTGGGTGAACTCCTCGGGGATCTTGTTGGTGAAGAGTCCGGAGGTGTCTTTGTACATGCATATGGTGGATATAGGAGGATTCTGTGGCAATAATGGATGTTGACGCCGTTAGTTAAATTATTATCACAAATAACTAATTAGTTCACAATTATAATAGAAAAAATCATCAACTCCATATTTCCATAAATCCCGAATACTGCTTCTTTACATTGTACCAGAAAGTTTATAAACATTTGCAACACGTTTTGACATTGATTCTACAATAACCTGTACGATGAGTAACCTCTAACAGCAACGCACTGAGAATAACCTCAACAATAACAGTACTTGATATTTCAGGTAAATATAGTTTTATGGTCATTCAAGAGATAGTTGATTATCGGATATCGGGTAGTTGCTGTCAGTCGTGGAATCTATCGATTCGTACAGTCGGTTATCGCGTTAATCAGTTAGTTAGGTCTTTGTACGTTCTACCAGACAACCCCCTCCAAAATGGCTCTATTTATATTGTAAGTATTATTCAATCTTTTTTATATCGTATACCGTATTTATGATGATTCCTCTTTCATATAATAATCATTTAATAAATGCATTCATATTTTGAATATGGTTTTTACTACTTCTACCCTATCTGAGCTACCCTCAAAGATGACAGTATCATTGTTGGCAATAAGCTGTTTCTGTTGCTATTTCCACTAGTTTGAGTTGAAGTAAACTGTTTATGTGATGGTAGAGTTGGAGACCACTGATGGTTTGATTTACCATATTTATTCTAGGATATGAATGAACGCACTTTATACTTCAAGGAATATTGAGTTGGGCGTAACGTGGCCGGTGGAGAGGAATAAAAAAAGATAAGTAGAATAGTTATCAAGTCTGCTCACGCGGTGGTTTGATTACAATGTATTTCAAATACGTCGTTTCTATCAATGGGAATCCGATATGGATAATGTTTCAGAAATAAGATGTGTGCCCTTTTTTCAACGTTTCAAAACTTTTTCGATACCCCCCCCCCTAAAAAAAAATTAAATTTGTACTTCAGCGTTTTATTGAGAGTCAAAATATGAAAAGTCAGTTTGGACTTCCTTACACATCCGAAAAAAATTGCGACATCTGGAACGTGGGTACGTAGGCAAATAAAAAATGGCGGAAGTCGAAACTTGTTTCACACCAACAGAAAAAAGAAACAAATTGCGACTTCTGAAGCTCCCTAAGAAAAATAATAATTTGCGACTTTTGCAGCGTTAATTTGTGACTTCATATATCGTTATCAATGCACGAATCTTGTGATTTTTTTAACGTTGCCAGAAGAACTGTATTTGTGACTAAATAAGAAAAAACTCACGTTGGCTAGCGTCGACTTGCTCACTACCAGCTTGGCGCTCCCCCGCGCCTCTCGCAACATCAGCGTGATCACCTGCCCGTCGGCCGTCATCAACGACACGTACGGATCGGCGCTCGACACGTGCACCAGCGGCGAGCCGAGATCCATCGGCACGTGCTGCAGCTGCGCAGCGCCCTGCAGCAACCGCACCGCCACCGTGGTCACCTGCACGACGTACTTGCCGTTGCCCAGATTGCCGGCGTAGACGGTGGGACCGTGCGTGGCGAAGCCCGTGTTGTCGATCTCGTTGATCTCGTGGCCGGTTTGGAGGACCTGCGAACAGGATGGTTCATCTCTCAGACTAAAATAACGACAGATAAACACCACGATTAATCCATGAATCATTGAAAAGTATACGCCAACAATCCGAAACGCCACACACGGATCAATGAATGATATCGCGAATGGTGGGGATAACGCTGCAAAAACGGAAAACGACTAAAAAGTTGCAGTTGATATGAGTGGCATTCAATAATGCCAATTGATTAGAATGTTTTCAAGCCGGAGGTAAAAAAACAATCCAGATTGTGGTTCCAACAAGATGGATTCACAGCTCACACGGCTCGCTCAACTATAGCTCTTCTGCGCGAAACTCATGGCCTGAAGCCCCGATAGTCACCAGCCCGATGTACTTGCCGTGGCTCGAACTACCAATGGTGAGGATTATTCTCTGGTCAATCTTGTTGATCTCATATCCGGTTTGGAGGACTTGAAATAAACGTTTAGACTGTAGACTTTGAAATAAACGTATGTCTGTATTTCCGAATGAAAATTGATTTTAAAAAACTCTATAATGGATTATCACCACTCAACTCGCGGGCAAGGATTCTCAATTCAACAGGTTGGTTCATCCCTCAGACTAAAAAAAAATGAACAGACACCGCGTTACAGAGTATACAATCCTAAACGCCAAACTCGAATGAATGAATGAAATCACGAGTGGTGGGGATGAATCTGCGGAATCAATGACTTACCATCGTCCCATCTTCCTGGCTCAATATCAAAAAGGCATGCTTATCCTCCCCACTCCTGACCGTCCACATATTCGAGCAGCCAGGCAGAGTGAAAGTCGTCACGATCTGAGGCCTGATGGTCCTCTGAAGAACGCAAAGCGCCCCATTCTTACCATACCCCGAAGTGGTCACCATCTCCAGATCCAAATCGATGGCGCTGTTGAACTCCTCGCTGAGGAAGGCCGGCTCGCCGATAGAAACGTTGCCGCAAGGGCCGATATTCAACAAGCTATCGCACACCTCGAACACATAGCTGGTTATCTATATGAATAACATAATACATTTTTAATCCACAAAATACATAAATGGTACAGGGTACGAATATATTGGCAATGTTAGGGCATGTGGATAATTGGCTACGACTGGTTTAGTAGTGGAAGAATCCACCCCTGTTCTTCTACCAGTGCCAGTGAAATTGAGGAAAGGAATTTGTGAGGCAAATGAAATAAAGCGATATTTTGAAGGAAAATAGGAAACTAGAGGGAGCGAGAAAAAGTGAAGATCGAGAAAGGAGAAGAGTGGGAAGGGTGTGAGACAGATATTTGAGTTGACTTTCAAAATTATTTTTTGCGTGGACAAGATATATTTTTCATATTCCACTTTAAATGATTTGCTCATTCCGGAAAACACACTATTGGAATGCTTAATCAATTCAGAAGACTGAAATTCCTTCAAAATTCTTGCCTCACAATAGACTTTTCTTCTTTTTTTACATTAGCAAATTTAATAATTCCATATATCTTGTACATACAATAATGATGAATTTAAACTCAATGTATAATCACTGTGTAACACAGGCTGAAGGACCTCGGTCAGCAGCCTTTTGGGTATACAATAACGCTCCTCAATTATTATTATTATTATTTGATTTGCTCAAGGATTGTTCATACAGATCGCCAGGCCATAGGAGAACGATCGTTTAACAGGCATTTTTTCATGCCAAGAATTTTGAAGCTTCTGTATCATTACTGTCTAGGCAGGGACCATACACCACAAAAGATTGAAATCCTATAATACAAGGGAATCACATAACATTTTTTCACATGAGATAAATTGCCGTTGGGAATGAATCATTTTCAGCAAGGCATAATATGCAATTCTCAGTTTTTATCACTCCAACCCCCAACGAACATATCTGTTTTTGCCGTTAGGAATGAATCATTTTCAGCGAGGTATATGCAATTCTCAGTCTTTATCATTCCAACACCCAACAAACATATCTGTTTATGATAGGGATACATGAACATGAATATTGAACCTCAAATTGTTGTCAAGGACTAAACCAAAATTGTTGCAACGAGTTTCAATTGGAATGGAGGTTCCCACAATCTCGAGTAATACTATAATCCTTAAAAAAAGTGCTAAACTATGGTCATTACAAAATATGAGCGCTTTCGATTCTATATGGTTAATTTCAGACAGTGCTGAACCCACTTCACCCACCTAAAAAATCCTTGAAACTAACCTACACCGGCCCTACAAAAATGTCAGGGATTGTACCACTTCACCTCAAATTTAGGATTAGCCTGAAAGCTATCGAAATAAAGCGATCCATTCACACGAAAAATATCAAATAAGAATGTCCTTCACTGGAATCGACACGCAGCGAATAATTGAAGAAATTCAGCAAAATAGAAGCGAATTGAAGAGTGCAATAGATGCCAGTGAAGCACGTATACAACTCAAGATAGAAGAATCTCATGAGAGGATTAGAAAATTGGAAGCAGAAAACGCATCACTGAAAAATAAAATTGAGCAGTTGGAACGGAAACAAAATTCGAATAATATTGTCATATTCGGATTGAATAAGCAAAGCCATGAGATTTCTTTCGATTATCTCCGAGACGAGCTGAGAACCTTGTTAGAAGTTGACCTTTCTATAAACCAAATAAAAGACATACACTGTTTGGGATCCCAAAAAAACTGTCCAGTGAAAATCGAATTCGTTTCAAATTACACCAAGAAATACTTACTCGCAAATTGTAGAAAGCTCAAAGGAACAACAATCACGGTGGCCCATGATCTAACCACCCAACAAAGAGAAGAACAGTCAGTTTTGAGAAGACATCTTCGCTCGTATAGACAATCCCAAAATATAACATCATTTATTAGAAAAAATAAGTTAGTAGTTAACGGGAAAGAATATTCAGTGGACCAACTTATTGAAATTGAACGGCAAGAGGAACAGGCGGAAGGAGAAGGTAAGGGAGGAAGCTCTCCCGCAACACCTACACAATCTATTCTTGATGAAGTTTTCGTGAGAGACAGCGCGAAGATACCCCAAGAAGCGTCTAAATCAACTAAAACCACCAATTCAGGAGAATCATCAGGTGCCATACGGAAACAAACTTACAACTTGATCAATCAAAATATTGATAAAGTTAAAACTAGATCTCATAATTATAAAAATTAGTAAGTTTTCTTTCACAAGCTATTAATTGCAAAATTTTTTGATTCTCATCATCTAAATATGGACCAGTATATAAGAGACTTCTCAAACGAACCTATAGAAACAATCATAGTCGATAGTTCAACTGATTTGATAAATATTTATAAGGAAAAAAAATATAAAGATCAGTTTTCGATTTATCATAATAATATTTGTAGCATTCACAAGCATTTTGATGAATTCCAAGCATTCATATCTGAGTTTGAAACAGAATTTACTTGTATGATACTGACAGAGACCTGGGAAATAAAGGATGCTGACTCGTTAAATTTGCAAAATTATGAATTGATTCACAACTGTGATTCAAGAAATAATCAAAATGATGGGGTTCTAGTTTACATAAAAAATAACGTACAATTTGAACATAAGACGATAAAAATAGGAGAATCCAATGGTATACTCATCGAACTCATTTATAATGATAAAAAAATCGCTTTAATTACAATTTACAGATCTCCCTCTAGCAGTGTCCAAACCTTCAACGAACAACTTGAAACTTTTTTGAATAACTTCAACAACATTAATAACTTCGATAACGTTATTCTTATAGGGGATATCAACATTGATATAAAGGCATCGAATGCTGTAGAGTTTACTGATGACTATTTGAATATTTTGTCAGAAAAAGGATTCATTTCATTAATAAACGAATTCACAAGAGTTACATCTACATCAGCTACGTGTATAGACCACATTTTCCTCAAATCGAAAAATGGAGATTACGCAGATATCATCCCGTGCATTATAAGAACTAGTATTACCGACCACTATCCCGTCACTTTCGCTATGAAAATCATCAATGATAATGATTGTAGACAAGAAGACCAATATTTCAAACGGAAGATAACGAACAAAGAACATTTAGTAGCTTTATTGAAAGATGAAAATTGGATTGATGTACAAAATTGTACAGATGTTTCAACTGCAACTGATATTTTTTACAACAAATTCAATAAGTATATCGAGCTCTCAACAAATCTTCAAAAAAAATCATCTTACCGCAAAAAAACACCGTGGATAACAATTGGTATAATATGTTCAATCAAACAGCGCGACAAACTGAAACAAAAAACTTTGAGACACCCGAATGATAATATTATCAAAAATGACTATCTCCAGTACCGAAATAAATTGTATTCCTTGATAAGAAAAACTAAATTAGAATATTTCAAGCATAAAATAGATAGTTCAAACTCTTCTAAGAATCTATGGGAAGTGGTAAAGGAACTGACAGGGAAAGCAACAAAAAAACATGAAATTTCGAAGCTCGAACTTGAAAATGGCGAGGAACTGTCTGATGGATCAAAAATTGCAGAAGCTTTTAACAATCATTTTGCTAGTATAGGTGAGAAACTGACGGCAAATCTGAAAACTGATTCGAAAATACCAGAAGTACAAAGATACACGCAATCCATGTTTCTGGAACCAACAAATATTGAAGAAATTCAAAAAACAATAATGGATCTGAAAGACAAAAAAGCTTGTGGTCCGGACCAAATTAGTAACGAAATTCTCAAATGCTCAGTTGAATATATATCAGAACCACTATGCCACATAATAAATTTATCGTTAAATAGCGGTGATGTTCCGGAGCAATTTAAAATTGCTAATATCAAGCCTTTATTCAAATCAGGTAAAAAATACTCCGTTGATAACTATCGTCCGATTTCATTAACATCTGGCATATCGAAGATCTTTGAAAAAGTAATGAAAACAAGACTATCCAAGTATTTAGAACACCATAAATTTCTCTCACCTCAACAATTTGGGTTTCAGCAAAATGTATCCACTCAAAATGCTATAGGTCTCTTAACATCAAAAATTTATAGTGCAATTGATGAAACTAAGCCATGTCTTGGTATATTTCTCGACCTGGCAAAGGCCTTTGATACTATAAACCACAAACGTTTACTGGACAAGTTAGAGAGGATTGGTATAAGAGGAAACGTATTGAAAATATTCAGAAACTATTTAACGAACCGAAAACAACAAGTTCTGATAAATGGTAAGAAGAGTGGTGAAAGGGTAGTTACTTGTGGCGTACCACAAGGCACAGTCCTTGGTCCCTTACTGTTCATAATATATTTGAATGACTTGTTAATGATGAAATCCAAAGGCACCATAATTTCATTCGCCGACGATACTGTTTTGGTTTATACGGGAGAAAATTGGAAGGAGGTACAGGAAACTGCCACAGAAGACCTGACAATTATTTCCAATTGGTTCAATGCAAACAGTTTGTCAATCAATCACTCTAAAACAAAAATCGTACCGTTCACATCATATGCGAAATACTTACCCCCATATGTAAATGTCGAGATCAACAACATTCCAATACCTTTGTCCAATTCAGCAAAATATCTTGGCATAGAAATCGATTCATTTTTGAAATGGGATATTCATGTTAAAAGTGTTGTGAATAAAGTAAGAAAACTCATATATAAGTTCAAACAATTGAAATTTCTATCCATCAAATACTTGAAGACTATATATTACTCCTTAGTAGAGTCCATTATACAATATGGTATAATAGGGTGGGGAGGAATAAGGAAAACGAAATTGAAACCCTTGGAAGTTATTCAAAAACGTATCTTGAGAATCATTTTCAACAAACCACCTCAATATGCTTCCGATATATTATTCAGCGATGGTCAAATTATGGATATAAGAGAGCTGTATTGCAAAACAATCCTATGCTATACTTATAAAAAACCCGTATCAAACCTGATCGAACATCAATACCTTACTAGAAGTAGATTAGCTACAAATGAAATATTACCACGCGCTCAGAAATCGATAGGTCAAAGATATTTTGTATACATTGCACCAAGGCTCAAAAATCTTTTACATAGTTCATTGAAAATGATAAACTCAAAGAACTTATTCAAGAAAAGAGTGAAAGCTTGGATTTTGTCTTTGAATAGGAAAATCTTGCATAATATCATTGATGCTTGATATATTGAGTATATATATATATATGGATAATATTATTGCTGTTATTTTAGTTTATATATTTCTTCTTTGTATTTAGTATTTCAGTAGATATATAGGTACCAATGGATGTTCACATTTAATTCTAACTTATTGGAGAGTAGCTAAATATAGAATAATACCTACATCACGATTGGGTATGAAATATTGTGAATAAATAGTGATAAATGCCCATAGACAAGCTCCTTGAGAGCTTTTTTGGGTGATACCTCTATTTATTCGATCCCTCTTTGGCAAATGTTCATGTTTTTGTAAATGTAATTATAAATGGGTTGAATAAATAAATTATTATTATTATTATTATTAAAGCTTTCTTCACCAAAAATGTGTTTTACTCACTTTGTGAGTTCTTTGACTCTGTTTTGTAGACTGCTTTGAATTTTTTGATGTAAATGTAATTTATTTTATCTTAAATTTTTGTAAAACTCTTATTATTTGAGAGTATTCATTACTAGTAGTATATTAGCTTTAATCTTGTCAAATTGTACACAAGTATTCTTGTCAACCATAATAAACTAATATTCTATTCTATTCTAATTCCTCGAGATCTCTGTTGGTGCACTGAATTGCATCTGATGCATCAGAAAAATCTTGAAATGGAAAATATAGCCTTGTCATCAGCATAAAGGTAAAGTGAAAAATAATGGACCAAGAATACTGCCCTGCGGCACCTCGAATGTGACACTCTGAGATGTAGATTTTTGAGTATCGATTTGTTCGATTTGTCTCCGGCCATTCAGATATGATAAGAGGAGAGAACACACCTGTATGCTGTCAGTCTGCCTCTGGTTTCCGTACACCTCGAGCTCCTCGGGGTCTCTTATATCCATGACGTCGCTGGCCATGCAGTCGTTGAGGCTGTCTAGTATTTTGTCGCCTTGCTCGTCCAATTCCGACCTCGATCTTTTGGCCGTCGGTTCGTCGTTGTCGTCGAGGGTGATCACTTCGTTGGCCTTTTCGGTGAAGCGCAAGAGCAGCGAGTTGCCGAGTCGCGAGCCCAAGAAGAGGAAGTTGTTCTCGCACACGCAAATCTACGAAATTATTTGATGATGTCGGCAGTTACGGTTTCGCAGTAGGGTTGCAAGTTTTCCGAAAAAGTTGGAATTGCTGAAAAGTTCGATCAACTTTTCAAGAAAAGTTCGAAAAACTTTGAAAAGTTGAGCTTTATGGTAATTTTGAAGTTGCATCTTTGCAATGGGCTAGTATCACAAGAAATTTTTATTTCATAATTCGATAGAACTCACCCAAACTAGCTCACCACCACAAACCGTTTCTTGCTGTGAGCTCCCTACGTTTTATAAAAAATTATTGAAATCCCCGATTTTTCGGACCTCCGAAAACGAGGCGATGATGTGACGTCAGAACCCTAATAACGAACCCTAATAATAAAATAAAATATTTTTTTAGTCTTGTTTCTTTTACAATAGTTTGTTTTATATATATATGTTATACCTTTGTCGACGAAATGTAATACATTTTAGACAATAAAGATTATTCTCTCTCTCTCTCTAATACTGAAACAAGACTATTCCAGACAGAGATGAATGATACATGATTTCTGACTGAGTGAATTAGCGTGAGATCACAGTTGAAAGGATTAATAAATCAGTTGCCTCAGTCTCCGTCGTTCGTTTGGTATTTTCTTTCAACTTTGGCGAGATGAGGTTTCTACGTCATAAGAGGGTCCGTTTTCAGACGGTACTATTATTTATGTCCAAAAATAAAACATTTCAGATAATTTTTCGATCGAATTATGTCGTCAATCATTATTTATGTATAAAAGGGTCATTATAAACATGGTTTGAGTTAAAAGTTCTACTAAGGTGTACACGCCCATTGTGATGTGTTATTGTGGGGAAATTATGTAAATAAAATACTGACTCAACCTTTTATAGTTACGTCCTTGAAGTATTTCTTCACAATTTTTTTCTCATTCACCATCTTGATAAATTAAAACAATTGACTTGCTTAGTTAACGCGGGGACGGGGAGAGCGATCAGCGATCGGGGTATTAACGGGGTTATAAACAAACTAGCGTATTAATCGTATTATTGTATTATTGTCTGCCGGGACCCTGTTTTTCTCTCTCTATTATAGGCTTTGTCAGTCATAAGTGACCGACGGTGACTTATAAAAAACGGTGCTTGGCAGTGATTTTTAACCGAAAGCAGAAGTTTCAGTTCGAGCCGTGTCATGCCAAAACGACTGACGATGCATTCATATCTCCATTAGATCTCAAATACAATAATGCCTCGAAAAAGTTTATTGTATGGAATGTGAGAAAACTCATGAACATCTGATTCTAATTATTGTTGAAATGGGTTTTCACATGACATTCAATGCACATAGAAGGCATCTCTTGGCAGCCTTCTCAATGCCTCCGCACTCTCTTCACCTCCTTTTTAGCCCCCTTTCTTGTACATATAGTTTCACGAGATTTTTGTAACAAATTAAACAATTTTTCTAGCTTTCGGTGTTTCATCCTCATGCACTTTTACTTATATACATTGAAATAAATTGCCTTGTCAGGCCACGTCGGTCGATTTTAGCTGACATCCTTTTATGCTCTTCTGTACACCAGAACGACTTTACAATGTCTGAGCAGCAATATGCTGATCGTTCGAACCAATGGAAATGCATCGGCTCAGCACGAGATCAAGCTGTCGGTCAGAAATGACTGACATGGCAGTCAATGTTACGACGTTTCGCAGTCTGAGGCGGAATTTATTTCAGCGCTCCCTTCTTGATGGAGATTAAGGATAATTCCAGAGGCGTCATTTCAGTGAATACCCGGAGGTGGGTCAAGAAACCCAGACAAACTGCTTGGTAATTGAAAGCGCCACAGACGAAATTTTCTCAAAGTTCAAGGTCAAATGCGGTCAAATTGAAAATTAATTTCATTCCAGAGTGACAACATCAACTCCGCATTTCAATGAAACCAGGAATAAGGAGGTGAAGACACTCATACTGAAATTGTGTACGGTAAAAATGCGCCGCAGCCAAAATTTCTGTTTCACATTTTCGAAAAATGGCTTCCTTATATCCAGGTATATTTTGTATTTTGAAATAATATAAGTGAATTTTTTTCAATTTCAAGTACTGATACAATACTGATGTATAATGTGGTTACAGGAAGAAGGTGAGTTGAATAATCTTTTTGTAGAAAGTCAGGGGGGTGGCATTGCTTTCTTGAAATTGAACTGAAAAACTACGCTTGGTTTTTCGCCTCCTCGCCTCGAGAAATACAAGGCACGCCCCTCGTGCGCCTCCCCTATAATCCGCCATTGGACAAGCTCTTCAGTCCACAAATAACATTGCAATTATATCAGATGTTAAACTTCATAAAAGTTCAATTTACATTGTATTTATTGATTTCAATTATTTATAATGTTTTTTTCATAAATGCAGGGGCAAGTGGAAAAAGGAGTTATGCTACAAATATGAATTTGTGAGAAAAATTGGCTCCTCCACCATTTCTATGACGAACTTTCTGAAAATCCACATTCACACAGTTAGAATATGATTCCCTGTGAACTATGATATTTTGCGATAGTATTTATAATTTTTCACTATCGTTATATAACAATATGTTATTCATAAATTGTCAGTAAATTTTTTTTGCTATTCGTTCCTTAATAAAACGGATCTATTTTTTAGGAAAGTTGCAGATTATATCTTGCAACAGCGCCTAATACTTTTGAGTCCGTCCACACCACTCAAAATACTGACAGGCACAACAAGAGGAAAGAGCCATGAGTGTCGGCTTCATTCTTTTCTGACCGATGACAGTAAATTAGGAAGAATAGTATCATTGAATGTATTGATTCATTGATTCAATGATATTTTCGTTTAAGATCGAGCTCTATTCCAGCTATTTCAATGTATAAATAACAAAACCATAACTTGTCAGAATGAAGCCAACTACATTCTGCATTCCTGCTCCGAGTGCATTTGTGGTTATGCATGTTTTTGTTTACCAGTTTTACTTCTTCTTCTATTTTTTCATTCGTTTTTCATTCATTAGCTATTCGCTAGCTACATTCTTCACCATCAGCTATTTTAAGACAAGATTCAGAATGTACGTCACAGTTTGCCGCCCGAAAATTAGAAATTGCTTTAATTTGAAAATGAAAACGACTTGGACTTTATCGGTCGCCATTCTGTACAGCGTGGACATAAAACTGAAGGAAACTTCCTCAACCAACACAGGAGATAGATTATACTCCTACTTGTTTGCGCGTCCTGTATACCTGTATACTGATTTTGGAATGAGAACGTGTTTACGCGATAGGCATCGAACGCTGTTGGTCGTGGGGGGATCAGTAAGAATTGATATCCCAGCAGGCTAGTATTAAATACCGTCCGTACTTGTCGAATTCATTATTGCATCAAGAGAACGTTCTTACAATTATATAACAATAGTTTATTTGGGAATTCTACTTGAGCGCCATTAATTGCTGGATATAGGCTCATTTGTTTGAATTCCAAAAACGTTTACAAAGAGAGGTTGTTTCTATTCGGATTTTATAACTTTGTATACAATTAGAATGTTCCTAGTGCAATTTTGGGTTTTTTGATATTTTTTTTTATCAATAGGAAATTCCTGTAATTTATGTAATAATGAAAAAAATAACGTCATATAAGTACTACTTTCCGCACTTGTAAGGTGAATAACTATTACTGAACTAGTGTGGTAGGATGACACTTTACCGCACTAGTGTCTCATTACAAAACTAAAATCAGTGTCCTAATGTTTGGCATTACATATTGCAAATAGGTAAAATGACATTACATATTGCTGTAAGGATAATTCTATAGGGCAACAACCTGATAACAAAAGAGGCAACATTTGTTAATTTTAATGATTTGCTTGAAACTAATTTTGGTGCACAAAAATGTGACACCTATTTTATGATTACCCAATATTGTTGCTTTCCTGAATATTCCTCCATATATAACTTCAAGAATTTCAATGAAATTTTAAGGAATTCCAGAAAATATTCTCAACAAATATGTTTTTGTTGTAGTTCTCGGGAATTCTTTTTATACATTTTTTTCTTTCCTGGAAATCTTATAAATTCCTCAACAAAATCCAGAATTCCATCAAATTATATAACCTTCTTGGTATTGTATTGAAAACTACATGATGATTCATTCAAATATTACCGAATTCCTTGGAATATTTTGTGATCTGCTTCCTTGATTTATTTGAAAATTCATAAATTTCTTCAAAACTACTGAGAATTTTTTGAGAGTCCTAATGATTCTAGAAAAATAGTGGAATTATTTGAAATAACTTCAATTTTCATTGAAATTTCTTCAAATTTCCTCAAAATGCTTATCAAAGTAATTAGAACATATAAAATTCTTTTGAATTTCAAAGTTAGGTGAATTAAATATTTGCCAAAGAAATGTGGTAATTTTATGAAATTTATGATTTTGTGACAAATCCAGGTAGGGTGTACAAAATTTCAACTGTAGTGTACTCCTGGTGGAGAATATTAGAATATACTGAAAATGATCTTACACAAGTTGTCAAAACACTAGCAGCAGCCTTTTCAAAATGAAAACTCCTTATGTACCTCATGCTATCTGCTAAAAGTGTCAGAACATAAAGTTCACCACCTTTAAGGGACAATACAAGTGTGTCCTCTTCCAAAAATTCAACTTGGACACAATCCAAAGTAATTTTGATATCATCTTGTGGCTCTGAAATAAAATCAATTAAAGTTCTGCCAAATCCACTACCTTACAATTTCTACTTAGTGGGAAACTTGAAGAAGATTCAGCAATACTATTCAATGATACTCCATATGGTGGAACACTTTGGTTGAGATAAATAAGAGCATTGATGGACATGATTAAAGTACCACCTATTGGTTTTTTGATTGGTACTGCCTTTACACAGTCAAATGGTAGGTTTGAAACACTCCAAATAACTGGATGAACTTTTTGCTGCAAGTTCAGTGATATAGCAGCCATGGCACAAGTATCTGTCCTTACAGCAACTCGACTACAAAGGGCAAATTGAAAAGAAACCAATTTGATGAAATTTGACAAAAAATATTGAATCTCACCCAGAAAAAGTTTTTAGAGGTTCATAAAGGATCAAAAGAGTTGGTTCATAGTATCCATGCAGAAATTGTATGTCTATGACATTATCAATTTTGTCAATAAAGTCTTTCAGCACTATCATATATGATGCTAGAATAGGTGCCCTGTTGGCACCTGTTCCACTAGACATAGGCTTTATGTCTCCTTCATTATCATCTATTGAAGTATCACGCCTGAATGGTAGTACAACTAGTTTTCTTCCAAAAACTGTCATTACTGCACATCTATTTTCTGGATCAACTCTAACTATTGGTACATGGTGATGATGAGTCCATCCATCCTAAACAAATATTATATTTCACTTGATGACAAGGAGAAATGATCATTACATACCTTCATATCATCCTCTTCAAAATAATGCAAACTCAAAGTTCTCAAATCATGATTTTCTGGGTCATATTCCACAACAGACAACTTTGAATCAGCAAATGCAAGAAGTATGGCATCTCTTTGGGTATTTGTGAATGTAACTCTCTGTATAGACATTATATTTCCAAAGAGTGTATACTGGGCTATGCATTCTAGTTTTGATTTTGGTGGATAGAACTCTGGAAATATTATTAACAAGAAAGTTGGGACATTTCAATGGAATCAATAATATTACCGGAATATCGTTCGGTTCGACTTTTATTATCCACATCTGGAATGAGTCTGAAAACTTTGAGGATGTTGGCTCCTGCTGTAACCAGACATTTTTCAACTTTATTGAAAAAATAGCAAGCAATAGAGTGTTCAACGCCAGTAGCGGGATGGCTCTGTTTACAAATGGAAAACATGTTTTCTACTTAAGTAACTGAACACTGAAATCAAATCATTTTGAACATCAGCAAAACAATCATTTCTGAATTGAAATTGCCGTTTGTGAAAACATCAAATCAAATTGCAATCTTGCATCAACCAGAGATTAATCTCTGCATCAACAAACCCATAACCTGAGATTTTCACTTGCGTCCAGTGTCGGCAGTGTTGTTCCTGTGTCTGATTTTTTCGTAATAGATATTCTTGGAAAGAGGTAACAGATTTGTATCAAAAGGTAATAGACTCGAAAAATCTGATATTTGACAGGAATGAGGCAGAAGTCACACAGAATTTATGACATAAATATAGAACATAGACCCATAGAGCAGGAACATAATTATCCGCTGAACACAGGAATAGATTTTTTTAACAACGAAAATGATGGAAGTATATTTACTTTCATCATTGTAACGAATCATGATATTTTGGTGCTAACATCATTTCAATGTTGCCGGATTGTGCTGAGTTAGAGTTATATTAACTTGAGGAAGAAAGTACTTCAAAGATCTTGAACTGATAGGATAACCCAAAAAGAAGAAAATAGCATTTTCATGAATTCACATAGAAGTAAAAAGAGACTATTCTTCAGAACAAAACAATCTAACTTGGCCAAATCACACCTTGAGTCTAGAAAATAATTTTATCAAAAATGTTTCTCAACATTAAATGCCTCCACAGTACTTTTTTCAGATAGAGGAAATATCCCTCCTCCATAAAAAAGGACTCTATACTTTTTTTAAACCATCTAACCCTACTCTACCTAAATGAACCTTCTTATAAAAAGACATCAGTAGGAACTTTTTTCAGGTAGGAAGGAAAATATCCCTCCTGCATAAAAAAAGAAGACTACTATTTTCCCACCATCTAACCTTAATCGGCCTAAATGAACCTTCTGCCAATACCATTGGTATTCTGTGCTTCTGCCTTCTGCCTAAAAATTAATTGTTCTGAAAATCCTTGGGAAAACAACTAATAAAATATGCCAAACGTCGCATGCATTGAACCGGGTTGCCAACCGGAGAATCAGACGAACAGTCAACTACGCTACGAGTCGTAGTGTGATAGTAAGATAGTATGAGAAAAAAATTTAGTCGCTGTACCCGCACTTGCCACGCTGATTATAATTGTTACCTCCTGTCTCTAGGCATAGACTACAGAAGATACTAGTAGAGATGTATAGAATCTATACATCTCTATACTAGTCATTCAGTAATCTTTGCTCTAGGCCTAGGTGCTTTGGACCACACCACACCAAAGAGGAGAGCCTACTATTCTTTGACCACACTCCACAGCTTGTATTTTTCAAGGGCGGATATAAATGTGGAGGAAATATTCTATATGAGTTGAATATAATTCGTAATAGGAATGAAAAACTTATCATTGGTCGCTGGTTTCTTGTCTGGTTTCCTCTTCCGTGCAGTTTTCTCGTCAAATAATGACACGTCGTTTCTTCGATCTAAAACATAGTTGGTATTGAATTTTGAATTTGAAATTTGTTGAGAATTTAAATAATGAAAGTTATTGTATGATGTATCGCCTTTCATGACAAATATAAATTTGAAAGAAATATTCGAAATGAGTTGAATATAATTCGTGATAGGAATGAAGAACTTATCATTGGTCGATGGTTTCTTGTCTGAATTCCTTTTCTGTGCAATTTTATCGTCGAATAAGGACAAGTCGCTTCTTCGATTTAAAACATAAATGGTACCTATTGAATCTCGAAATAGATATTTGTTGAGAATTGAAATAATGTAAGTTGTTATTTGTGAAAACTTCTTCAATATTCGTTGCTAAAAACGCGACATATTCTTCTATTACTGATATAATAAACGGGACAGATAGCCAATAATTTTCTCCTTGATGAGAAACACTGTATATACCTAACCTATCAGGCGCCTACCCCGGTTGCAACGAGGGTTTACCGATGCTAAGAGTTGATACTCTCCCGTCATAAGGGTACCTGTCGTTTCTCCATCGAGACAGAAAGGTGAAAATTGAAAATTTTTGTGTGATATATCGCCTTCCATAACGAATATGGATTTGGAAGAAATATTTGGAATGAATTGAATATAATTCGTAATAGGAATGAAAAACTTATTATTGGTCGCTGGCTTCTTCTCTAGTTTCCCCTTCTGTGCAATTTTTTCGCCGAATACTGACACGTCGCTTTGTCGATCTAAAACATAGTTGATAATATTAAATCTCGAATTTGAAATTTGTTGAGAATTGAGATAATGAAAGTTATTATATATAAAAACGCCTTCAATCTCTGTTGCTGAAACGCGACATATCCTTCTATTACTAAAAAAAATGAACGGAACAGATAGCCAACAATTTTCTCCTCAATGAGAAACACTGTATATATACCTAACCCATCAGGCGTCTACCCCGGTTGCAACGAGGGTTTACCGATGCCAAGGGTTGATACTCTCCCCTCGTAAGGGTACCTGTCGCGTCTCCATTGAGACATATAGGTGACAATTAAAAAATGTTGTATGATATATCGCCTTCCATATCAAATATAAATTTGGAAGAAATATTGGAAATGAGTTGAATATAATTCGTAATAGGAATGAAGAACTTATCATTGGTCGCTGGTTTCTTGTCTGGTTTCCTCTTCTGTACAATTTCTTTGTCGAATAATGACACGTCGCTTCTCCGATCTAAAACATAGTTGGTATTAAATCTCGAATTCGAAAATTGTTGAGAATTGAAATAATGTAAGTTATTATTTATGAAAACTTCTTCAATTTCCGTTGCTGAAACGCGACATATTCTTCTATACTCGTGAGGGCACCTGTCGTGTCTCCATTGAGACATAAAGGTGACAATTGAAAAATTTTGTATGATATATATCGCCTTCCATAACAAATATAAATTTGGAAGAAATATTGAAAATGAGTTGAAAATAATTCGTAATAGGAATGAAATACTTATTATTGGTCGCTGGTTTCTTGTCTGGTTTCCTCTTCTGTGCAATTTTTTCGTCGAATAATGACTCGTCGCTTTTTCGATCTGAAACATAGTTGGTATTAAATCTTGAATTTGAAATTTGTTCAGAATTGAGATAATGAAATTCATTATATATGAAAACGCCTTCAATTTTTGTTGGTGAAACGCGACATATCCTTTTATTACTAAAAGAATGAACGGAACAGATAGCCAACAATTTTCTCCTTAATGAGAAACACTGTATATACCTAACCCATCAGGCGCCTACCCCGGTTGCAACGAGGGTTTACCGATGCCAAGGGTTGATACTCTCCCCTCGTAAGGGTACCTGTCGTGTCTCCATTGAGACATAAAGGTGACAATTAAAAAATTTTGTATGATATATCGCCTTCCATAACAAATATAAATTTGGAAGAAATATTGGAAATGAGTTGAATATAATTCGTAATAGGAATGAAGAACTTATCATTGGTCGCTGGTTTCTTGTCTGGTTTCCTCTTCTGTGCAATTTTTTCGCCGAATAATGACACGTCGGTTCTCCGATCTAAAACATAGTTGATATTAAATCTCGAATTTGATATTTGTTGAGAATTGAAAAGCAACATATTCCTCTATTACAAAAAAATCAACGGAACAGATAGCCAACAATCTTCTCCTCAATGAGAAACACTGTATTTACCTAACCCATCAGGCGTCTACCTCTGTTGCAAAGTGTGTTTACCGACGCCAAGGGTTGATACTCTCCCCTCGTAGGTTGTGTCTCCATTGAGACATGAAGTTGACTTTCGTCATTTTCCTGAATCTTGAAATTGGAATGTATTGGGAACTGGAATTGTGAAAGTTGGATCGATAAAGAAACTGATCGAAATGTTCACGAAAACTGTTCTCAAATTTCGTTGCTGAAATGCGGGTACCTGTCATGGCTTTCATGTTGTCATGACGTATTGAGATATGAATAATATGAAGATTTCTTTATAAATATACCGTACATCAACTTCCATATAAAAGGTAAATCTGAAAGAAATATTCGAAATTAATTGAATTCCAGTTTCCAGTGAGGGATACGATGGATATCAAAGGAACCAGCTTGATAAGATATGAAACAGGAATTCGTGAAAAAACTTACCATTATGGAGGATATAATTTTTTTCTCATCATGTATTACCCCACGTCCGGTGCTGTTCTGTAACAAAAGATTTCAATATTTGAATAATTTATAACTATATCTATTTGGAAGAATACTCAAATTGATGCGTTCCGTTTGAAAATATACAACTTTCACACACTCAAATGAAAATACAATCACTAAAGCAAATGTGAATTCCAATTTTCCATTTTTGAATAATTCGAGTTCTTTTTTATGAAACTTGAATCGACCGAACACGATGAAATCTAGAACGATACTGCTGATTGGTATGATTCCTTATTCTGATGACTAATAATCAGTTACGTCATCCTTTCAACCGATTTATTCCAGAACAAGTCAGAACATGACTAATTCCGTTATCGATGGTTGGTATACGGGATGGGGTGAAAGAGAAATTCAATATATACAGTGTCACCGATAAGTCCGAGTCATATAATGGTTTTTTTTTAATCATTTGGTTTGATAAATTTAGATTTCATGAAAAGGTCTTATTTTGCGAATAGTGTAAAATAAAGTTCATGATTTTTTTCAATCGGTAAAATACATTGTCAAAAATCTCATCTTCCGAATATGAACGATTTTGCGGTGACACATGAATTATTGAGAATTAATTAACGTCTGTTACATTTTCAAAATCAGCTCAATAGGAAGAATTCATGAAAATAAATTAGCTTTTCGAAAAACTACTGAGGAGTTATCACACGAGGTTAGTTCATCATGTATATTGGATTATTATTTCGAATACAAAAAGTACGCTTCTCTTCTATCGACATCTGCCAGTACAGAGGGTTTCAGATTGCACTCAACATACCATGGAAGTTGAAATTATTTAGAGTTAGATTTTTAAAAATTTTCCCCCTGAAGAAAAAGTAAAATCACCTTTGAAATTTCATATACATTCTGGTTGAAGTTTGTTCTGTCTATTCCACCCTCGATTCCACCGGAAATTCTATACTTGAAGTTATTTTTCTTGCGTCTGAGGACCAAACAATCTTTTTGAAAGTGCAAGGATCATTATATAAATGCATGGAAAGCTGCTTTCAGTATTTCATGCCCAATAAAAATACTAGAAAACATTAATTTTATCAGATGATATTGAAATAATCGTAAAACCGAACAGGAATGAGGGAAACTCCCTGTATATCGATTTGAAAACATAAATTCGTAATGTTGAAGCAAGATTACAAAAATGATTCTTGTATTTGTTATAATTTCGAAAAAAACATAAATTTTCTCAAGTTCCTTTCGATTTATCGATCTTTTGTTAACTAAAATGGTGGTTATAGCAATATACAGGGTGGCATTGAAATAAGTGCAAATATTTCAAACCCTGAGGAAGCTCGACGTTTACTTTCGAATGGCACAAATGGAAAAATATAGGGATCAAACTGAAATTTGGGGTTAGACCCTTTATTCCCTTCAAAGGTCTACATTGTAGCAATTTTGACGTCACCTCTCTTCAAATTTCTGTGCGGAAGGCACAATCACGAGTCTTTTTCCGTAATTTGTTCAATTTTTGGGATGAAATGTCTCGTTGATTAGGAGAATTAGAAGAAATCTGATCTAATGGGAATATTCGTTATTGAATCATATTGATATATGTGCTCAATATGTGCACCTAATTCAAAAACACCTCGTATACTAGTGCCTATATTGCCTATACTTGTCGTTGCTCACAAAAAATATTGTACTACTTTACGCTTTACACTTCGTAAAATGGCGAGCTATTTGCACCCAACGTCTAAAGAAAATGGTCCATTATGCAACTTGCTGTGTATAGATATAACTATTATTGTACCTACTTTCTTGATAACAATTCAAATTTCTATACGATGTGTTGTCATTATACTGACAATAATAGTTATGGGTAGGTATACAAACAATTTTTTTTTCTGTGACGGGCAAAAAGTTTGAAATTTCATTTCATGTGACAGGTTATAAAATGTAACTTTTCATAAATTGCTCTTTTCCCAAGGGAAAAAGTGAGTACATTTTTCCCGGATATATATCACATATATATACACTTGATGGCGTTCGTTGTGTTATAAGTTCCGTCCCCGAGAAAGAACTTCAAGTCTTTTCATCTTCCATTCGACTTCTCGGTTACGTAAATTACCAAACAACCACTAAATTCGCGATTTTTCAAAATCAGATCACAGAATTAGACTGACAGATATATGATTGTAAAAAATTGTAACTTTTACTTCAAAAGGATGATAAAGATGGTATCATTACTGTTGAAAACTTCAAATTTCACGTCGATAATTTTCTGATTTTAACATAATGTAATATCTTCTCAATATTGATTCCTTCTTTTTCCTGTCACAGAAAAAAAAGTGTATTGAACACGGGAAAAATATGAGATTTTAGTTCACGGTTCACAACCTGGAGCTAATATCTACTACTTTTTACCCTTGTATGATGACTATTTTTATAGAAATCGATCTGACTTCGATTCAATTCGAACCGTGATATACAAATTTTCGTATAGTCTTGTATACGCATATAACTACAAAATGGCGATCGATTCTGCAACTCATTTCAATTCATATTTTCAGGACCTCAAAACCTACCTCTGTACTTATATGTAAACAAAGCGAATTATTTCAGACAGAACGGCGAATATTTTCGCAACTTGTTGCATCAATATTCATCTATTTCCTCTGTAAATATAGATAAAGAAAGCGAATTTCAAATTTTTTCATCGTATATGTAAATATACCGAAGAAAAATACCAACTATGAGATGAATACCTATATAAGCTCCATATTCATATACCTACAAAAACACTTAGGTAGGGTACCATCTTGAAAAAAGAACTTTCACATACTCGAATGGAAATACAATCACTAAACCGAAGATGAATTTTAGGTTTCTTTGTTATACCACTCGAATCGACTGTACGTGACAAAGACTAGAACGAGACTGCTGATTGATCATCCTAATGTCTATAATTGGTTACGTCATCCTTTCAACCGTTCAATTCCCGAACAAGTATGACTAATATCGATACCGATAGTACGGGGTGGGGTGGTGAGAAGAAATTCAATATACAGGGTGTCCCAAAATTACGAGGACACACAGCTACCACGTGTATAGGAGGTCAAAATAAGTTGATTGTACCCAATTTATTCATGTGCCAAAATGTACCGATTGTCCGTGAGAAGGGTTCAAAGTTCTCATAAGAAATCACATATTTGTACGCTGTTCAGAAACAAGTGAAACGAATTTCATTTCATTTCATTTAGATCGAGAATGTTTCAACCGACTATTGTTAAAAAGTATACGGAGCGGTGAAATTAATTTGTTATACAGTGTCACCAACAATCTAGGGTCATTCATGAACCGTTTTCGTATCCATTTGTTCTCCTGAATAATTTGAATTCAATCGTGGATTTTCTATTTGCAAAAAATAACTGAAACACTACAAACAATTAGGGTTTGTATACAGTGCGTCCGTTCAATCCAAAGTTCTCCCTTAACTAAGCAGTGTATAAGTTCGTGAAAATTGTTGTCATTTCTCCTGAACGAATCATCCTGTATCTATTAATAAATTCGAAAAAATGCCCATATGAAAATAGGATTAGTTGTCCTCGAGCATTCTTTCCAAAAATGATCCCTTCGATTTCTTCGAATTTAACGGACGCGCTACTGTTAACAAACCCTTTGTGTGATATATTTTCAAATTCAGCTTTCCATGGAGATTCCAAAAATTGAATAACATATTGGGTGTTCAAACGTGAATCACGACCCTGTATATTTATTTTTCCATTATAAATGTGGCAAACTGAAATTTGAAATCGACCTGTTTCAGGAGATTTCTCAGAAATGGATACTTTGGCTAAAAATAAATCTATACAGTAGGTACTTCACGAAAGGTACTTTACGAAAGAACTGTACAATGTACAGAGTTTCTATAAAATTAATGATCTTAGAATCGTAGTGTCCGTTGAAATAGTAAACCGCTCTCTACTTATTGCTGTTTACAGGCATCAAAGCGACCGAATGTGTTATATATATATTTATATAGTTCGATCTCCATACCTGGAAAGCGGCAAATCAAATAAATATTTTAACGGCTACTATATGATGATCATCTCTAGAGACCTTGTATAAATGAACCATAGCAAAATACCCATGCATCGCGTGATAAATATCACAAATTTTCAAATTAAAAAAAAAACACTTACCAATTTGAAAAATATCAAATTCTGAAAGCACTTTTAGTCAAGAAAACAAACACTTACACACATACACCTGCACATACACACACACACATACACACGAATAATAAACACGAGTTCTTTTTTTTAATTGCATGAACTTATTTGAATCGACCGTACACGATGGAATCGAAAAAGAGACTGAGTATAGATAGTGCATGGCGTGACATCGCTTGATGTTGATTCACTATCTCAATGACTAATCAGTCATCACAGTCATCTACCCGATTAATTTCCGAACAGGAATTTCGATAAGTATACGGAGCGGTGAAATGAATTTAATATACAATGTCACCGACAATCTTGGGTCATTCATATAAATCCCCTTTTTCGTAGGCCTTTATTTTTCTCCTGAATAATTTATGAGGATTATGAATTTTCAATTTACAAAAATTATAACTGAAACACTACAGGGTGAAGAAGTGGAATGTGAAATATGAATTGGGAGGTGTCCCGTTAAAACACTTTTTTTTCAACAATAATTCAAGGAATCGATTGGTACAGTGTGAGCTGTATATCCGAAATAATCGTCGAGGTATAGAGGTATGATTTCCATCTGTGACTCTCCTGGATTGCTGTAGTAAATATAAGAGGACTTTTCTGAACAATCTAGCCTAAGAGTTTATTCTGAGTGAAACTTCTTTCTGAATAAAATATTATTTTTCAGATAAATACTTGAAAGAACAAAATAAAAAATGGTTTACTCGTAAGAATTGAACCTAAGCCGTATAGAGGCGTGGTATTCAGATGCACATCTCGCTGTATCAACCGCTTGCTCAAAAATTTTCCTATGGAAAGAGAGTAAGAGGCAAAATTTTAAATGCATAATAGCAAGTCTATAGACAATGTCAAAACGAACAAGAAATGAAAAGTATTACGATCGATTTGAAACCGGGTCCTTTCGCCCATAACGTTGTTCTATTAATGTATTTCTGACGAAAATATGTACGAAAATAATAATAACTGATGATAGTTTGTATCTGTTCTACCAACTTTGAGCATCATACAGTAGCGGAAAAAAGTAGATTCAACGTCTCGCTCGATATGTGACGTAGAGAGATTATAGTAAGCGGTCGAGTGAGTTTTCAATACGTAAAAATGTTCGCGCACCATCTACTTATTTCCATCATTCTGAGCACGCAAGCAGAACTTTCGCACTTTTTTGAGTGGTCAAAATTTGTGGCCATCCTACTCTCTAGAGTGGGTGACGTCATATACACGCGAGAATCCAGAGAGCCTGAGTGCCAGAACTGCCAGAGACCAGAGACTCCAGAGCCACAGACTCACATCGACACTTGCTGATAGAGCAAGGCCATAGGAATAAAATTGGAAAGAAAAAGAAGAAGAAGATAACCACATGAAAAGTATTGTTTTCTGATTTTCTAAATGTCTTTTCATTTGGACAAATTTGGACCATCATGTCTCGTCTAATAGTGAAGAATCTACCAAAAAAGGTGTGTTCTCTTTCTTGAATACATTTCAATCATTGATCCATTCGCCATTTCAGATAAATGAGAAGTCTTTGCAAGATCTATTTGGGGAAAAAGGAACTGTTACAGACGTACAACTGAAGTATACTCCAGATGGCAAATTTCGTAAATTTGCCTTCATAGGGTATCAAAATGAGAATGAAGCTGAAGAGGCAATCAAATCTTTGAATAACACATTTATAAATACCAGTAAAATCTCAGTGCAGAAATGTAGTTCCTTAGGCGATGAAAATAAGCCCAAGGCTTGGAGTAAATATGCTACAGATAGTACAGCATACAAAAACTTGAACTCTGAAGTGAAAACAGACACAATTACAGAGAAAACTAAGAAACCTAAAAAGAAGGAGAAAATAGATGAGACAGCAGTACTTCTAGAAAAGGTATGAGTTTCATTATTTAGCATAGCATTGAAATAATATTGTAAACTTTTTGAAGTACAAAGATGATCCACTGTTTGAAGAATTTCTTCAAGTTCATGCCCCAAAGGAGGCAAAGAAACTGCAAGAACTAAATACTGATGAAAAAACTGAAGACCATCCAGATGACAATGCTGATAGTGATGGCCCAGCAGAAGACATTGCACAAAATGATGATGAACAACCTGACATTGAAAAATTAGCCAATGAGCAGATATCAGATATGGAATACATGAAACTTTTGATGAAAGGTGCAGCTGAGAGGAAGCCAAGACAAAAAATGGAGAAGAAAGTGAAAGAAAAAATTCAGTTATTTACTGTGAAGCTGAGGGATCTTCCTTATAATATAAAAAAGAAGGATATCAAGGATTTTTTTAAACCATGTAAATGTTATAGTATTCGTATACCAAGAAATATACATGGTATAGCATATGCTGGATTCAAAACAGAAAAAATATTCAAAAAAGCACTAATCAAGAACAGAAGTTTTATCAGTAAGTGTAATTTTAATATTTCTAGAACCTGTAGGTGAAAGTAATTTATTTTTCACAGAAGGAAAAAGGATATTAGTGATGGAGTATATAAATGAGAGTAATTCTCAAGATGAGAAAAATAACAACCAGAAAAATAGTACCCCAAAAAATGAAAAGTGGAAGAGTCAAGAAGAAAACCTCAAAAATGAAGAAGACATTGCAGAATCTGGCAGGATATTTTTGAGAAACTTAGCTTACTCAGCATCTGAAACAGATATTGAAAATCTATTCTCCAAATATGGTAAATCAAATTCATGTTTGAACTTGGAAAGTGTTGGAAACCATTTATGGAAATTATGATATTTTCTAGCATGTATTGACTAAATCAACAATCCATTTTCCCTGATCAACACAAGTTTTCTGTAATTAGGTATTCTTGATTCTTTAGTGAGTAATGATGCCTATTATGTGAATAATAGCCATCATAGCTAAGTAGAAGTTAATTTAATAAATTGCAATTTTTCTCTTTCAATATAATACAAGTTCAAATTTTGATGTGTACATATTCATAAAGTAACACATGAAATGAACTTCAATCATTAATTTATATAGGTATAACTCTCAGAAAAAATTATGTATATATTACAAACAAAACTCTATATTCAAGTAATAACATTTTATTGGGAAACATGAAAAATAGATTGAAAAAACACTTCTAAATGCTTAATGATTTACAAGCAACAGAAATGAAAACAAGCAGCTACCAAAACACATTTACATTCAAAATAGAGTCATTGATAAAATGTAGAAAAAGCTTCATGCAAACTTCAGAAAATGTGATGATAATTTCACCCTGAATATGCTCCTATTTGATTCCTTGAACAATCCATAATGAAGATTCATCTGTTGGCGAATTTAGCTTCACAGTGTATTTTACTGGTACCAAAAAGTTCTTATATATAATATAAAATCATCAGGCAAGGTCAAAACATTGAGAAATAAAAAACAGAGGAAAATCCTACTTTGTCTAGCAACCCTCTAGATGATTTTTAACCTCAATGGTTAATTCAACTCTTCAGGTCCACTTACGGAAGTTAATTTACCAGTTGACAGCACAACTAAAAAAATGAAGGGATTTGGCACAGTCACATTTTTGATGCCGGAACATGCTGTTAAAGCTTATGCAGAACTAGATGGGTCTGTTCTGCAAGGAAGAATGCTTCATATTCTTCCAGGAAAAAGTAAAGACACCACCGAAGATCAGTTGGAAGGTAGGTACCTACTTATAGTAGCTGACCCGGATCCAAAGTACCCTCTGTATAATAGTTATTTTGATTTGATATTCCATATTTAGTACAAAAAGCGTGTATGGAGTTCTATTTCATTTGGACAGCAAATAAGGAAAAGAAAAATTTGTTTATACGTCCATGGTTTAACTATTTTATGCTTAAGCGAGTGCTTAAGTATATCAGGCAAAATCCCACAATATGTTGAATTTATAACACCCACTGCCTGTCTCATTTCTGATGAGTTGTTCCTCCATTCTTGAGATTTGCTTTGCATCCATGATTTGATACTTGTCTTTTGTATAGCTTTCACAATACCACAGAAGGGTTCTGGGCCATTGATAGCTTTGTTTACTTGCTCGGGCAAGTGAGTCTACCTCTTCATTGCCCTCACCCTGTATGTGCTGGTTCCCGTGCTAAAGTCAGTCTGTTCTGACTGCCCAGTTCATTAAAGGTTTCTAAGCAGTAAGTCTGTTCTGACTGCCCAGTTCATTAAGATTTTCTAAGCAGTCCCAGACTAGTTTTGAGTTAACTTGCATTGAGCTGACTGCTTTGATTGCCGAGTAGATTGCAATGGTTTTCCCTTTGAGCTCTTGCCTTATCAATTCTTTTAGGCGATGATGTATGGCAATAATTTCTGCCTGAAACACCGTCGCATATTTACCAAAGCTCAATGAGTCTTTGGCTTGGCCACATATACCAATACCTCTTTAAAAAGATCTAATTTGACTCTCGAACAATTGAAATATTTTGGGGAGATTGAGATGGCAGGAGTTTAACAGGTGGTTGAAAATTTTTATGTAAAAATATTGATTTTCAAAAATGAAAATCTTCCAGTCCGACCGGTCCGAGTTTTTTTTATAATATATTTCTAAGAGTGTATCATATGATCCACAACAGCCATATTAGCTACACTTTTCATTTCTGACAATCGTCTTATCTCCGTGTTACAACGCCCTCAACTTTTTTACTTTATCCGCCATATCGATGGAAAGATGAAAGTGATAACTAATTATAAAGATTCACTGTTAGTACGGACCTGCTGATTTCCAGCTTCAGCCACGGATAAACAGGCGACGTTCGAGTTGCGTTTTTTGCGGCAAAATGTTTTATTAGGTAGGTATATGCACGATAATCCCAAAATTACTGAAAGCAATACGAAACGTATTTGAAAAAGATTATGATGGAACCAAATCCGGCTCGAAGGACTAAAATGAACGGCTATGAACCCCAAATAGGAAAACTTCTAAATAAAAAGGCGCGAATAACTTCCACCTACCTCGAACCTTGTGAATGTCGGTGTAGCCCGTCTCAGTGAATGTGGCAAACAGGCTAATTTGTTCCGGCTGGTAGGCACTCACTTTTAGCAACCGAAAGTGGATAATATAAAAAAATTACGGGTATTGCCACTAAGAAAACCACTGCCCCTTTCATACACACAGAAAAATAGTTATGGCTGCCTTTTCACACCGGTACCACCTCTGTTTCTTGATCCAAGCCTTGCTTCTTCTTCTTGACTTGTGTAAAACTATAAACTAACTTGAAACTATATAAAGGTGAAAGGATGCCTTAACGGAAATCTGTATTCATAATATGATAATGATGAGTCATTGTTGATGCTGAATCATACTCAATAATACAAGTGTTAATTTCGATTTGAAATATCAGGGAGGAACAATTTTGGTTAAAATATAGTAAATACGAAAACAATGTACTTACCAAATTTCTAATTGAAATAATGAGGTGAAAATGAACTACTTGTATGTATATTACATTGGATAGAATCCACGGATTTCAAAAAGAAAAAATCGGCCAAACAAAAAGCAAAGGCCGGCTCATCCTACAACTGGAATTCACTGTTTCTTGGACATGACGCTGTTGCCGAGGTCATAGCAGACACTTATGGAACAAGTAAGGAAGCAGTCATAGGTCCAGAAGGCAAAGGCAGTGCTGCTGTGAGGCTTGCCCTGGGTGAAACGCAAATTGTCGCCCAGACCCGAAAGCACCTTGAGGAAGAAGGTGTTATATTGGACTCATTCAATAGTGTAAGGACAAAGACGGTTTTATTCAAGTTTTTTTTAATCCTACTTTGTCAATGAGACAATTACAGAACAATTGAATAGTTACTATTTGTGGTTTTCTTTTGTTATATCTACTGACACCAACAGGAATTCGCATATAAAAATAATGTATCAGGCATAAATAATTTCATTGTGTGCCAATGAGCGCATAGTCATTGGATAGCCTAATAGATATAAATAACGATAATAGATAAATATAGTTATTTATTATACAAGGGAAAAAAGTAGTAGATTTTAGCTCCAGGTTGTGTTGTCTCCCGACGCGTAGCGGAGGGAGACAAAAAACCGTGAGCTAAAATCTAATATTTTTCCCGTGTATAATACACTATTTTTTTCTGTGACAGAAGGAAGACGAATCAATATTGAGAAGATATTACATTATTTCGAAATCTGAAAATTATCGACGTGAAATTTCAAGTTTTTAACAGTAGGGACACCTGCGTTTTATAGACATCTTTATCATTCTTTTGAAGTAATCAAATATCTGATGTCACTTCTGTCAGTTCAATTCTGTGATTCGATTTTGAAAAATTGCGAATTCAGTAGTTGTTTAATAATATACGAAACCGCGAAGTCGAATGGAAGATAGAAGGACTTGCAGTTCTTTCTCGGAGACGGTATTATTGACTCATTTTTCGGAACTATAGCACAACAAAAGCCATTAACAGAGTATATATATGTGATATATATCCGGGAAAGAAGTACTCACTTTTTTCCCACGGGAAAAAAGTAATTTATGAAAAGTGACATTTTATAACCTGCCAACAGCGATAAAATGCCAAACTTTTTTCCCGTCACAGAAAAAATAATTTTATTTACAAACTTCACTTTCTAGGTTTCTGTGAAAAGGTCAAAAACTATTATACTAGTGAAAAATTTGCCCTCACGAACAGAACCCAAAGTCATAAGAGAATTATTCGAGAAACATGGCGAAGTAGGCCGGGTTATTTTACCCCCTAGTGGTATAACTGGTAATATATGAGATAATTATAATTTCCGATGGTTGAGAAACATTTCATTGCAGCCATTGTTGAATTTTTGGAACCGTCTGAAGCCAGAAAAGCGTTCACTAGACTGGCGTACTCTAAATTCAAAAACGTCCCTTTGTATCTTGAATGGGCGCCAGAGAATAGCTTGAAAGATATGCCTAGGGTGGAGACAGAAAAAACCCTGAAAACAAATTTCGAGACAAATCCATCCCAAGAAACAGGCGTTGAAGTTGAAAATGATGCTGGCGATAACGATGATTGTGATGAAGAACCAGAAGATGATAGCACACTCTTCGTGAAAAATCTAAATTTCAAAACTACAGACGAGGACCTCAAAAAAGTATGTTGACACTTTCACTTTGGTTCTGCTAATTACTTTCGGATTTTTTTGTAGCATTTCATCGGATGCGGAAAAATATTTTATGCGAACGTGGCCACCAAGAAGGACAAAAATGATCCCAAAAATAAATTGTCAATGGGTTATGGTTTTGTTAGATTCATGCTGAAATCTGCTGCCGATAAGGCACTGAAAACGTTGCAGCAAAGTGTTTTGGATGGCAAGTCTTTGGAGCTAAAAAGATCGGAAAGAACGTTAAAGTGAGAATTTGGGTCCAATTTTCTAATGAATATGTCATTTGACGAAATTTGAATATCTCGTTATCAAGTGAAAATATTCAAAATATAACTGAAATCCAACAAATTACAGGATGAAATGAGTTTCATGTTGATAAACTGAAATACATTAAGAAATGAAATATCTCCTTGAAGGGTAGGAAGATCTTGAAAATAATTTCAGAAATCTATTGTTCAGTTCAGCAACCACCTTTGAACAGTTTCATTTGGATGTTCCTACAGAAAATCAAGATTTGGAATACTAGTTCCAGATAATTTGCATTTGATTAAAGTACTGATTTTTTTCAGGAATGAAGTTCACACTGAGAAAAAGGTCTCCAAGAAAAATAAACAGACAGGCACTAAAATATTGGTGAGGAATATACCGTTTCAAGCAACTAAGAAAGAGATTCAGGAACTTTTCAGGTATGTTTTTGAATTTCTGAAGTGCCGGGTAGATATTGCCATCTTAGCTAGGTACTACTTAATGATATTTCCAATCTAGCACTTTTGGCGAAATAAAGGCTCTAAGACTTCCAAAGAAGATGACCACAGGTGCAGAGTCCCATCGTGGATTTGCGTTTGTTGATTACACTACAGCATCAGATGCCAAGGTAAATTCTTGAATAGTTGAATGACTTACTTGGAAAAAAATAGGTAACGTCCAAAAAAATAGGAACGACGAAGACATTGAAATCGAAAATATCCTGAACAAACTCATTATTGAAAACATCAACTGGTCAAATAATTCTTTCCTTGTCTATCATCTGATTTGTTTATTTTCATTTATTCATTTTATATTCAGGAATACAAACAAACAGGACGGGCCTAAAAACAGTATTCACAGGGAGTTATATAACATGATAATTATATTATTTATCTTAGAAATTTGGTGGGGTACCTATTTCAAAATTAGGGATGGTATACAAAATTTAAAAGACATTTTAAAGATATACAAAACATATGCAAGGTGCTAACAAGGATTCGTAGGTTCAAGAAAAAGTATGGTTTGAGTTCATTTACAAAGGTGGTAAGTGGTAAATGAAATACAAAATATATCAATATCAATCAGATTAGATATTGAATTATAGCTTTTGAAGCAGCGATGATGAGGGGAGTTCAAATAGTCGTAATATGTGTTGGTCGCTTTTAAATTGTAGGCAATTATTAATTTGGATTGAGTCTCATATTATTTACCAACTTGAACGAAAATTTTACTACTGAACTATTATCAATGTCATGAATCATGAATGATCAAATATGTCATTGAATTCTCAACTTGACTTACCAATGGGAATAATAAGTTATGACAGGACTTCAAAATTAGTTCAGTGGCACATAGACTATAGAAATTAGTGTCTGCATGGAACATTTCATTACAGGCCCTTCAAACACTAGGGGTGGCCATCTTTGGAAAAAGGATCGATTCTAGGAATCGATCTAGATCAAAAGAGAAAATATCGATCCATAAGAAAATCCAAAGGAAAATAATCGATTTTCAGTAAAATCGATCCTCGATTAGATCATAGAAAATGTTCAACAAAATACATAAAGAAGTGTGAAAAAGATCTTGGCTCCTGATGATATGATCATTGAATGATCACAAATTATCAATTAACTTGACAGAACATTAATAATTCCTCATTTTATATGGATAGCTCTCGTAGTCCAGTGAAAAAACTTTTCTCATTATAGTCAAATATGTTATTCATTGTGAATTTTTGTTCCATTTGATTTTATGTAAAAAAATCGATTCACCTAAAGATCGAACATAAAAAGATCTAAAAAAAATCGATTTTTTTAGACGAAAAAATCGATCTTCGGAAAAATCGATTCAAGATTGCCATCACTATTAAACAGTGTTGACACGCTTGTCACCATTCTCAGATTTAAAATGCCAGTTCTAAAATTATGGGCGTCCCCGCGAAAATGTTTTCGAAGGCACTCTAACATAGACAAGAAGATAATTATTGGACTTCTCTATATTTTGATAGGGTTGTATAGCGCTGGAGAAAGATGGAATAACTTTTCTCTGTGTTGTTCATATAATAGGGATACCTCATTATTTGAGCTAAGCTATATTTAAGACAATATATTCCACGAGTGATGCTCAATTCATCAGGTTCTTAACACAACCACAAACTGTGTCATCCTTCATCACAAGTGGATTATGGATAATGTTTCCATAGAATATTGAAATATTCCACAACAAGCTTGATGAAATCATTATTGAGTGTCAAATTTGAATAGATACCTACATATAGATATTGACAAAATGTTTTATGAATGATTGTATCCAGTAATATCTTTGTGGAATAACTGCTCAGATTTTTTCTGCAGAAAGCAGAACTTTTCATCACTGTAGTGATGTCTTGAGGAATTAAAATAAAAATATACAGAGTGGTTGGATAATTCATCTACATTGCTACAATTGGTCATAGAATTGTTGTAGCATAACCAATTCAACAACCCAAATCCAAGATATTTCAAGTTGATATAAAATTTCCAGACAGCTTTTGAAGCTCTGTCTCAAAGTACTCATCTTTTTGGACGTCGTTTGGTTTTGGAATGGGCAGCAAGTGAAGAAGGTATTGAGGATATGAGGAAAAGAACTGCAGATCATTTTAAGCAGAACGATGAAGTGAAACAATCAAAGAAGAGCATTTTCAGCATGGAATGAAAAACATTACATAATCTATGGTTATATGTATGTGGATTTGTAAATATTTTTATTGAATAAGATGCTAAACAAAAACAAAAAGATTTTTTATTGATGTAACAGTATTTTTACATATCTATAACTTCTCCCTCCAAATACATAAAGGAAACTAACTAAAGAGACTAACAAATGTTCAAGCTTCACTTTTTCAACAAAGCTTCATCCTGCATGGACAACTGTCCCAGTTTCTTGCCTATCCGTTCATGTATATCTAGAAACTTGGCAACACATCTATCAATACACACTGCTTCTCCTTTGGCAATTTCAGGATCACCATACACAGGGGGTATGCATTTTTTGTGACAAGCAGCTGTTAGCCTGTTGTACATATCAGCCATCATTTCAATCTCCAACTCCTGGATCATCTGCATATTTTGTACTTCTTTTTGGGACATGTTAGGATGATTTGGTTTGAACTAAATATGAACTATAGGTAGGTACCTACTCAACTCTGGGAAGAGGTAGTGGAGAATTTTCTGTAACTAGGTTCGTATTCTCCAAGATTTGCTTGTCTCATGTGTTCCCGAATTTTCATATTATCATACCGCCTTTTGTCTATACTAGTCTTGGCTAAGTAAAACGAATATATCCCAGCAACAGTAACCAATGTCCTAGAGTGTTTAGAGGTTAGAACCGAAAGAACAAATTATATAGAACATTTTTGAATGGATTCTACTCACCAACCGATTCCTACTTTCGCATGCGTACCCAAGGACATTATTCAGTCATTTTCATGGATATTTATTAGATGAAAATAATAATAATCGATCGTTCAGCACCTCCACCATGCGTATTTTCAGTATTTTGATTTTGAAGAATTTGAAGGTTGAAGTTTGAAATCTGTCAGTTCTGTCTTGGTTCTGTGTTCTGTCATAGAAGCACGAATTCAATACTACCTGAATTGGTCCATGATGAAATCAGGACGCAAAAGAGACAGGGCGCAACAAATAATCCATGCGGAAGCAATCAGCAATCACAGAAGGCTCACTTCCGGTTTTGCGGTTTTACCGGAGACTACCCCAACTTTTTATTTCCAAATGAGACACCCATCACTATTTCATTCCATAATCAGTTATGGATTATCATAACTAATTCAACGATACTAGGTTTGATAATGTTATTTTAGAAGATTACTAAGATGCCTTGAGACATCTCAACGATTACCTATACGAATATATTTCGTTCCATTTTCGTTCATGTGACGGCGCAATATCGAAACTCATTCCTTTGTCACACTCATATTGCGCATATTATGGAACTTTTATCTTCATAATCGTTCGAAATAAACTATCAAACCACTTATCGTTGAATTCTTTATGATAAGCCTTAACCGCGATTGTGGAATAAAATACAGGGTGTGTCCCATTTTTGAAAATCAAAAATTGTGTTTAACCGTGACGTTTAGTTTACCAACTCCATAGTTGGTAAAGGTGGTTGCAGGTAAACTAGATTATTTGTTTAAAAATGATGAATGTGAAAAATGGAGGATATGATGGAAACACTCGAATTGAAAATAAATGAATGGAGTGGACGTCGAAGTAAGATACACGGGTACACTGTGGAATTGGGTAAAGTGAAAGACATGGGAATTCAAAAATAGTTAATGTTGTCGTCATTGACTCCCACAACCTTCACCTAAATACTTTAACCGGGTTCAACGGGGAATGTGAATGTACTATCCCTTTAGAACCCTATCACAAAACGATAAGAGTTCCGTGTTTCTAGAAGAAATTTTCTTATCGGACCTCAGAATCGAATTCTGCTTGCGTTGAGAGAGAAAAAATATGTCATTTTATTATGTCCTTATATTATTATCTTCAGAATGAAAGGGAATATAATATTCCCTTTGCGAAAATCGACACGTGCCGCGATTCAAACTGATCTTATTATGTTAGTGGCAGAGTGTCAATATTTCCGAGAATATTTCGCCCCTGTCGAAGGACAATATCCGATCGACCAGTGAAAAACTCATGTTGGTGCTCCCTTACTATACTTACAAGAATTCAAATCCACATGTTGAGTTTTACACTGGTTCATCGGATATTATCTTTAGGGAGGGTCGAAATATTCTCGGAAATATTGACGCTCCTCTGTCACTAACTTATAGATCCCTTATTTGAATAGCGGCACGTTTGCTTTTTTGCAAAGGGGACATATTACCATCTTCAACATCTTTATAACTCAACAATTTCTCATCCAAATTTGCTATTTTGATATTTACCTATATTTTTGAAATCAGAAGAAAGTCTTTATCGATGTGTCAAAAAATATAAAGGGTGTACTTATACGTTTCATTTGAAATATTAGAGTTAATGTCCTTTCTGGAAAAACGAATGACTCAGTTTATAAAACTACACATAATAAAAGTTTGCGTCGTTTCAAACAATTTTTTTTCACATTTTCTGATATCTCTGAGAACAAATGATAGGTATAAGGGGGGGTTCAATTTTAAGAGGCACACTATCTGAATCATCTCCATAATTAAAAAATGTGAACATTTCTATACCTATAGGAACAATAAGCAGCGTTAGGGGAGTTTTCGAATTTATAGGTTTGATGATCACTGCTGAGAATACAAATAATGTAATACAATCTCATATATTCTATACAGTGTGTGTTTCTGAAATTAGGGCGATGAATAAAATGGGACATAATGTCACGATAATTCACAAAAAAAATTGTTTTGGAAAATGTTCAAAAAATAATGTGCGCTCTCACCAGAGCTTCCAGTGCTTGTCATCTCGTCGAAAGCAAACGCTTGGGTTGGGCTATTAACCTCTGCCTTTCATCAATGATTTGAAAAAAATGCAGGCCAACTTTGATGCTCAATATCTTCCAAAATATTTTCGATAAAAATGTATTCTTTCATTTCGTTTTTTCGTCTCCTATCATCTATTTCATTGATCGCCCCAATTTCGGAAACACCCTGTATATAATCAGAATCTATGCTTTTGATATTATTTCTTCAACGTACTTATGTACTGATCATTTCATTATTCTATTGTATAAAACGATTCATTCCATCAAAATTTCATAATAGATAATAAAGAATAATATGCAGAATGAATGATTACACGGTATCCCATACGTCATCATGATTCATCGAATGAAATATTTTAGTAAATTTTCAAATACCGCTGGCAGATTCAAAATTTATCCCACAAAGATAACCAATTATAAGAAAAAGTAGGTAGCCCATTTAATACATAAGTATTCCGAAATGGTAGTTATTCAAAACAGCCTTTTGTTATTAATTGTTTCAAATGGGTCGCGTTTTTCAAAAATCAATAATCAATTCTGAACCATCAACAATTTGATAACCAAATATAGCGTTAGTTTGATTTGATACATTACTTATATGGGACACCCTGTATTACTGACAGAAAGTTGCTGGGATCAAGTTCAACCGGTGCAGTGGCGCATCTGAGTATACCTACTGAAAACATCAGGGGGTCAGTGTATGGCCTCCCATTTTTAAATAATAAAGAAATAAGTCGAGGGTAGTTTCAGCTACCCCTGAAAAGGAATATTTTTCAAATTGCTTGCAAATTATGGGAAAATACATTAAAACGTTGACGTATGTCTTATGTCTTGACTTTTCCGGTATTATCCACCTTCTCACTAGCGAATTCAATCTAGTTAAGATCTACACCCTGTACATAGTTAATTTAGGCAAAAAAACGATTCAACATTTTCCTTCCTACAAAATAAGCTTCGGGTTCTAGCGAGTGTAGCCGAACGCTTTTAACAATTGAAGAGCACAACGCGAAGCAGCGAGCGACCAGCAGCGCTTATCACAGCCAACTTGGTGAATTTAGTAGCGCGCCGGCATTCCAAGTCGAGGGTAGTTTCAACCCCGCTCTTTTCAATTCCACGAAATACGCGCGAAAACTTTTCAGATAAGTTTTCAGAACTGGAAACTCCTCATCGAGACTCCAGCATATTTTCCAGGTTTTAAGGAACTTTTGGCGATAGTTGATGTGGTGTTTTTGAATTGGAGTTCGATAACTTTTTTTCGCGGAATGTATTCGCACAGATTCACCCAATTTCCTTCAAATAAAATGTAATCTGTTCATCTTCGTCGTAGAACTTAGTGGAGAAGTTGATGTGATTAACTGAAAATATGAAGGGGTTGCTTGGAATTACTTTTGGATTCGTTTTCTGCTGCTTTATACAAGGTAGGCGGTTTCTTCTATGCCTGCTGATCTCTACACACCCAGTATATATCTCGGAAAAGTTTCTGAAGTGAAATCAATTCAGTTCTCACTGACAAACATTATTTTTTGATAATTTTCATAAATAATTGATAAGAACTGATACAACAAAAGAGATAAATCTGTACAGGGTAGTGAGGAGAAAATTCGAATATACAGGGTGATTCAAAAGTAAGCGGCATCCTTTCAGAGGCGTATTCCTTGCATGAAAATAAGGCAAAAAGTTCCTATTGATAAGGATCCGAAAATGCTTCCTAAGGGAGCTACGGCCCTTTGAATAGGACACCTCAAAGACGGTTTTTTCTCTATAACTTTAAAATCCTTCACAACAAATTTTTAAAAATTGGTGTACGGCATAAACATTCGATGGTAAATAGGACTCCGTATTCGAAATAATTTCCAAACGAAATCACAGTAACCTGAATATCCGGAGAAGAAGGGATATTTTTACACTTACCCTCTCCCGCATGTGACGCCCCTGAATGAAATTCTGAAATTTCGAATACGGAGTCCTATTTACATATGTTATACAGAGTCAAGGAAAATCTTCATGAAACTCTAGTTTTCTGGCTTACAAAACGTCAGTGAACCCCAACGTATACAATACATAATACATTTTCGAGACGTGTGAAGTCTGGAGAGGTTGGTGGCCAACGTAGGTACGAATTATTTTATATCCCGACGATTCATACACCCTGAAAAATTTTAAATTTGAGCACTGCACCTGACAAGCAAAACAAAATTTCTCATCTGCTTGAATGAATGTCATATCGATAGTCAATTGCGAGGTCAATTGTAAATATGAGGAATCCATATAGAGACACACTTTTGAAATTTATTATAATTTCAATCATTTAGAACTGTGAAACTAGTTAGTTTTTTATTGAAAATGGTGGGACTAGTTTTATAACACCAAAAATCTGAATCTGGATTCTGATCTTCCTATTTTGATATGATATATTTGCTCATTCCATTTTTGCCTCGAATATATAAGGAATCCTTGCTAAACATACATATATAAATCAAATTGTATTTGTTCCAATATACTTGCATAAGCACGCGTCAATCCAGAACCGTCTCATCAAGATTTTGGTTGGCACTATAATTTCTCTTGCTGTTTTTTCTTCAATGCCTATGATGAAGCTATCATATATCAAGTTTTCTCCAGTAGTTGATAATCGGTATGATATAATAATAACCATTTAATTAGTCACTTTTTATGTCCTCTGTCTCGTCATCTAATCATAAAATTAATTCGAGGTTTTTATTGTTACCTGATGCCCTGATGGTATATATACAAGGTGTTTTTGAAATAAGCGGGGGAAATATAATTTGCTGACCAAAATTATTGAAGTATCATGACCAAGCAATTCTGGTTCGAATTTTTTCTTCAAATTGAATATTTGAATATTCTATATGAATATATACATGCCACCAGTAAAACAATTCCGATCCACCCCTTCAGAGGGGTAGTTTATTCTTGCAGCTTTTCAGAAATCGTTGCTGACCGAGCATTTCTGGTTCGTATTTTTTCATCAAATCACATATTTGGATATATCATATGGATTTATAGATTCCACCAGTGGAATTATTTCGATCCA